TTTCCACTCACTCATCGTAGTTGGCGGATGGAAGATCCTCAGTGTAAGCTTCACCTCCAAACCCACAAGCAATCTTTTTCTCACTGATTCTACAGGCTGCGTTCGTGTCCATCTCCCTGCTAATCCCCTTCGCCATTTACGGACTGAATATCTTCAACGGCCAGATGGTTAAATGCAATGACGGAGATGACTCCATTATGCTCATTTCCGATTGTTTTGGCGAATTCAACAATACACCCTTCAACGACGATTGGCCCATGTTGGCGCCACGTGTTCCCTCCAACGACTATTTCAGCTTTGATGACTTTGCAGCGTCATTGTTCGTCCTCTTCCAAATTGTCAGTCAAGAGGGTTGGACCGATGTCATGTTCGCGGCACAGGCAGTCACAGGGCTCGGTAATCAGCCCAAAGACCTCAACCGTCAGGGAAATGCCATGTTCTTTGTTGTCTTCAACCTGTTGGCCACAGTCTTCGTCCTCACGCTGTTTATCTCAGTGTTCATGCGCAATTATACGGAGCAGACTGGAGTTGCCTTTTTGACAGCTGAGCAGCGGTCCTGGCTTGAACTACGAAAACTGTTACGACAGATTTCTCCGTCCAAGAGCTCATACAATGAATCAGAGAAAACTTGGAAGAAGTGGTGTCACAAACGCGCCATAGAGAAAAGGGGCAAATGGTATACAGCCGTCACCTACGTCCTCATATGCCATCTCCTACTCCTTCTACTCGAGTATCACGGCGAACCACAATGGTGGACAGACTCTCGGGATGGACTATTTTTGGCATTCACGCTAGTCTACATGGCCAACATTGCCATCAGGATCATTGGTCTTGGCTGGGCCCGGTTCCGAAGGAGCTCATGGGACTTATACTCGCTAGTAGTTGTCACCGGCGCGTTCGTCTCTACATCCGTGCTCATCATCAGCAGAAATAGCGATACGTATGTGCAGCTCCACAAGTTTTTCCTTGTGGCCATCCTCCTACTTCTTATCCCGCGGAATGATGCTCTCGACCAGCTATTCAAAACGGCTGCTGCAAGTTTAACAACAATTGGAAACTTGCTCGCTACCTGGCTTGTGTTCTTCCTGGTTTTCGCCATTGCTCTTACACAAGCATTCAGTCTGACGCGCTTTGGCGAGAATGAAGAAGCCAACGTCAACTTCCGCAGCGTGCCTAACGCCCTGATTCTTCTATTTAGAATGAGTTGTGGTGAAGGCTGGAACCAGGTCATGGAAGATTATGCGACTATCGAGCCGCCACTTTGCGTTGACAACGCCGACTTCTTTAACAGCGATTGCGGTAGCAAACCCTGGGCTCGTTTCCTCTTCGTTGCATGGAACATTCTGAGCATGTATATCTTTGTCAACCTTTTCGTTTCTCTCATCTATGAGAGCTTCAGTTACGTATACCAACGGTCTAGCGGATTGGCTGCGGTAGACCGTGATGAGATCCGGCGCTTCAAGGAGGCGTGGCGGAGCGTCGATCCTGCCGGGACCGGCTTCATCAGCAAGGATGCATTCCCCCGACTTCTAGGAGAGCTTTCTGGAGTGTTTGAAATGCGCATCTATGATGCCGACGATTCGGTCAGGCAGATCCTAGAGGATGTTCGCAACGATGCCTCGACATCCGGAGCACGCCACATGTCTATAGCTTCTGCGAGTAACTACAGTGCGGGCATTGACATCCAACGACTCAATCGGAGACTCGCACAGATTGACGTTGTCAAGGTTCGCGAGCGTCGCCGTCGGTTCAACATCTTTTTCGAGGAAGTCATGGTCTCTGCGGACCCCGACAAAGGCATTTCGTTCACTTCTGTGCTCATGATTCTGGCCCACTATAACATCATCAATGACAGCAAGAGTTTGAAGTAGGTACTTCCTCATCGACCCTAGTCACTGATCAGACTAACAATTCTGCAGATTGGAGGAATTCTTGCGAAGGCGTGCTCGGCTACAGAGAGTGGAAGAGGAGGTGCGGCGCAGGGTCGTTCTTGGCTTCTTTGACACCTTGTGAGTTTCCTTGATGACTACGGACTATAGAGTCCCATGACTAATGACATCATCTCCAGGTACTGGACTCGCAAGTTCAAGAAGCACATTGACATGAGAAAGTCGGCGAGGATGACTGCTATTCCCCAGCTCGACATCCCTCACATTCTTGTTGACGATGATGATACACGCCACAAGTCCTCGCCGGTGGCCGGAACCGGACAAACGAGGTCAGCATTGCTGACAGTGGAAGACGCTCACAAATCGGTACACAATAGCTGGTCTGGACCAGGGCCGACAGATACGTCGGACGGCGACTACCAGCACCCGCTCAGCTTCCCGAGATCTGGGCCTACAACGCCGAGCCACCAATCGACGCATTCTGCTTTCAGCTTTGAATTGCAAGAAGGAGGCCAGACTTCAGCTCAGAGCAGTAGAAGGGGAAGTGCTGTCACACCACAGAGCCCTGTCAGCCCCGCACAAGTTAGCAACATGCTGGACGACTCTATTTGGCTTGAGAGTATTCGGAGAACTGCAACAGTACGGAAATCGGTCCGAAAATCCGATTGGAGTAGATAGATGCACCAGAAAGTGGTGCGTGGTGGATTTTGTTCCTTCAGCGACGGCGTTTAGGTTTGAGATGAAGACGTGTCATCGATTCTGGGCGTAGCTCCTAGACCATTTCTAAGCCACGAGAGGCATGAGCACCATGAACTTTTCGATTTTCATGTTTGATAGAAAGATAGACGAAGCAACTTGCTCATGGCTTTGGTTGATACTTGCAGCATGATGACAGTTATGATCAAGCAAGGGCTTCGTAGATTGCACGTAGGGTAGTGTAGCTAATGCGGAGGATATCATGAACACGTATTTCGTGTGAAGAAAAGTGAGCACCCGTATTGTCAATCTCGCTGTCCCAGTGTCATACACAAATCCTACGATCATTCTCGACTCTCGTTAACGAAGACGGTCGATGTTATTCTAAGACATGTCTCCGATGCACAGTCATAGTTGACTGCACTCGGGCCAGACGGATTAATGCACCGCTTTGACGCTGTGACCAGACTTGGACGCTTAGAAAGAAGAGACCAGTTTTTCGTTCATCTGAAGACGATGATCGCAAAGCCCATCGCAAAGGGCGATTTATTCCCAGCGACGACAGTGACGGGAACGGCATGACGTGACTGCAAATATCAAGCTTACCAACTCGTACCATCTTTTGCTAGTGTAGCAGAGGACCCTTTAAGATTGAAAGCTTCTCCGTGTATTGAGAGGTTTGCTCCCGTTCGTACACTTTCTCGTGATTCTTTCGTCTCGGGTTTAGACATCAAAACAGTAACGTTTGCTTGGCAGGCGTCAAAGAGAGGTTAAACTTCTTGCGCATGAACAGAGCATCAGAACGATGTGGATTTCCTTCTCCGGAATTACGAATCCTTGCCCATTTCTTCTCCCAGGATTGAAGAATCCGAGGGCTGAAGCTGTATGTTCTCTCGAGCATCTTATAGAAGGATTCTAGAAAGTTTCCATCCTCGATGCCTTTGCACCCTGCTCCAAAAATGCCCTGAACAAACGAGTGCGCTCTCTAGCGAAAAAGATTGAATAAAAGAAGCTGGCCAGTATCAAGCCATCACTTTCAGTATATAGAATACGGGATCACGAGCCGTCAACAGTGAATGGATTTGGCTCTTGGCGGAATGACGGATAGATTAAGTTGCAACAGTGCCAAGAACGCCGCTTTTGACATTGAGGAATGCCTCTTGGCTTCGATACCTGGCCCTAAATTCAGTAATCTTGTGTCTTGGGCCTTGCCTTGAAAGCCGGCAGTAGAAAGATCAGACGAGACGACATAGAAAAGAAGCTTCATCAACCGTCACCCATCGGGGTCGAACATGGTTCCGGGGGTAGGCCTCGGGGAATTGATAAAGTCCTAGTGTAAAGACGGGTCTGAGTCTCGTATTTCGTGACTTTCATGTCTCGTCTCGTCCGGTGTAGGCCCTGGTCTGGTCTGGTCTTGTCCGTGTCTCGTCGTCGCTTGGCACTTCCTCGTTTCATCTTCGCGAATGTTTCAATATGCCCCTCCTCTCCTACTTTGTCCGTCCTGGGCGCACAACTGGCTGTCTACTTTCTGACGGGGAGATCGGGGGCCATCGACAAGATTGAGAGAGATTTTTCGTTTGTTGCACGCTTTCACTGCTTGTAGTATTATCCGGACTCTCACTCGACACTCGTCTACACAGACGTGGGCACGATTTGCAACGATAGGCAATGGACAGGACAGGGGTATGGTGAGGGGATACCCAGGGGTGGCCTTGTTTCCAGTGTTAGTGAGCCCATGTCCCATCACGTTATTCCTCCCCTCTCCTAGCTTTTAATCATGAGATCGACGGATGCCCCCCGAAAGAGAGGACACTTGGACATCTGTTTTGCCGGAGGATCAGTTAGGAGATGTGACAGCAAAGCGATTAGGAGAGTGAAGATCCTGGATTTGGAGAGTTTGATGCGTGTGATGGCGTTTGTGATTCGGGTATAACTTCAAAGGAACGGACGAGCTTCCTGTTTAGTACTCAGAACAACAACACGAGGTTTGAGATGAAGAACCGACAGGAATATGACCTCTTTGATGTTACCTGTCCGCCGTACAGTGCCCTGATGGAACATGTTCTTTGTAATTAGCTTCAACACCACACCCACTACGGGTATCGGCAGTCCCTTTTTTTTCTTCTTTTTTTTTTCTTCACCTGTGTCATTTACGATGCAATGGGAAGACCATATAGATAGACTGCCACAGTCTCACCTAGATTGATATGCCCTTTTTAGCATATAATATCGTGGGCTTATATGAGTAAGTCTCCGGGCAGGCCCAAGAATATTCGTGGCAGAGCATCGCCACAGTGGCTCAGAGAGTTCTTCCAGAAGGCTTCGACACCCACATCACGGGCTTTCCGCCGCGTTGGCAACAGCCATCCTCGTCAAGGGAAAACGCTGGTGCGAACGAGTGGCACGAACGCCGCGCTATGGCGATGAGCACGTTATGCGGTTGCGGTCAACCGTCCAGCGGTAGCCATCCACCACATAGCGCACATGCCTGTCCATAGCTTGCCCTTCAACCCTCCCAGGCTTGAGGCTATGGGTTTGGGCAATGCTCGGTTCTTATTTTGGGAAAGATGGCATTATTGAAGCCTTGCACATAAGTAGCAGCGGATTATCCGGATGGAGACATACGCACGGCGCTGAGGCTGAGGAGGGTGAGGTGTTTGTACGTAATCGTGGCCACTCACCAACTTGTAAGTCCCAGAACTGTCGTCAGGGTCAGCGTCAGCATCAGCGTCAGCCATGAAGCACGCATGACATCGGCAATTTCGTTGGCGGGCGCCCTTGAAACAGCCGTGCGTTCTTTGTCTGCACCGCTAGGTTGTCTGGCTGTCACTCTGTCCCCCCCTGACGCCTACCTAATCCAGCACTACTCTTCCAGTCTTCGTATCTTACTAGACTCTGCTCTCCAAAGTCATTGATCCGATGTATTATCTTGGCCCCCGTGTCAGTAGAATCGTAGCGACGATGCGTGGGGTGGCACATTGAGGGATGGACGCTCACCGCCTGTGCGTTAACAGACTTTTTTTTTTTTTTTTTTTTTTTTGGGCAGTACGGAGTGCGGGTAGCTCTGAAGTCGGTGGAAAGCCAAGATAAGCCAAGCCGAGAAGGCCGTTCCGTACCCGCCCGTATCCTTCCCATACTTTTACCGCAGGAACGGTACCTAAGGAGGTACGAAGAACTCAAGGTACCCCAGGGGAAACTCATCCCTTGCTCCTGGCCCCCCCCCCCTGACGACGATCACACAATGCAGCCAATTGGGACTAAAGGAGCAGGAGGCTGCTACATACCTCAGACTGCCTTGCACCGGCTCCTGGGGCATCTCTTGCACGTTACAGAGCACTCGTTGCCTCTTGCCCTCGCGTGCTGCTTCCATAAACCGCTGGTTCATGCTCTGGATCCGTGACTGTCTTCCTTTACTGGGTATGTAAGCCAGAATCTACGGATACTGAACGTATCTCTCGTTGAGAAGGTGGTGCGCAGGTACGGCATATGCGGCACGCCATCTCAAATCTCATGTGGTCTTTCGGTCTCCCACCGGCCCCTCAGTCTTCTATCGATAGAAATCCGTAAACAAGTCTATCATGTCAGAGAAAGACGCTGCCTCAGTATCTATCGCAGTAACAGACTACCGAATTCTTCGATCAAAGTTCATCCGCCAAGCAATGGACGGGCTCAACGCCAGGTTCGACATCCTCGTCCAAGTTGGACCGGTCCAGTCTCATAGACTGAATCTCAGAGCTCGTCAAGTTACCCAAGACGACTCCCAAAACATGCCGTTGCCTACGTACTCACACGCTGCCGTGCAGACAGAAGAGGCATATCTGCGCCCGTCGTCTGAACAACTTGTCTTCGAGCATCCAACACCGGTGGCATCCATGCATCTCTTCTTCCCAAGTTCCCACCGCATTGCTCGTCACCAAAAGAAGGCAGCGTCCTGATGCCACACCTCGCATTGATGCCGTCTGCGTCACACCCCTGAACCTCAAGCCCGTTTCTCCATACTATGTATACATCCTTGGTATTTGAACCCTTCTCACACTTCTTAATCCTCCGCATATCCTCACTCCCCTGTCCACCTCCCAGTTGCCTTCCCTGCCCATCCTTTCCACCTCCCGCGGCCCCTTGTTCCCTCTCTGCCACTTCGCTTCGTCTGCGATTGATTTACTGCCAGGGGCAATTCGCTCGTCTCAGCCGGACTACTGCTGCTGCTGAACCTAGCATACCTACTCTGCCACTAGCCTACTATTAGCCTCAAGTTATTCTCCCTCTCGAGTGTCCATGTTTTCCGACACTTGATATAATCCGTCCTGTTCCCGCTGTTATCAACCAGTTTTTGAACTCAGTCTACTCGACCAACCAACATTTTCAATTCTCGCCATTCACTCGTTCACATACATTCCAGGCTGAGCCTCCAATATCCAACATCTACACCCAGATTCCTCAGTGTTGTCATCGAACTTGCACACTGTCACCTCCCACTCTCTCGATACTACCCACATCCACCAAGCTTTAGACGTACCAAGGTGTCGGAAACGTCTCCTTCTCGTTCAAAATGCAGTCCTCCCGCTTCCAGTCCATCACCTCCCGCTTCTCTCCGAGCACACTCAGAACCACCTTCCGCCGCTCGTCATCAGCATCGTCCCGTGCCAGCAGCGACCGAGGCTCCTTTACTACCACGGCATCGTCTCCCGTCAGCACAATCAACAGCATCGTCTTCCGTCAGCCCTCGATGCTTGACCTCGAGGAAGAGCGCAAGAGCTTCGGAAGCGAGCTCAGCATTCTTGAGCCACGCCCTGTTCTCTACTTTGGCAGCGTCGAGGAGCGTATTGGATCACTATAAGCGCAAATATCACACTTTGGTCACATGTTTTTACGAACGGCGAAGACGATGGACTTTCGACACGCCATGATGTTTATGAGCCTCGGAGCTCTTGGGTCTGAATCAGATTAGACTGGGATCTGTTTTCAATGGGAAAGCTTGGAAACACAGGCGGCGTTTAGGAGTTTGGCTCCTGGTGGATAAGCCTAGAACAGGCGTCCTGGGAGACACTGATTTCTTTTACTGGCTGGAGGCCAGATTACCACTGTTAAGAAATCGCCATGATGCGATTACGATAGAGGAGCAGCTTTAAAAGCGAGACGCAACATGTTAACAGTCTGTTTTCACCTCTTCAAATCAACACAAATGACAAGCAAGCCCAGCGGTCTGGCAAAACCCTCAGTGAATCCGTGAATGAAGCTGACAGTATCCGATTTGACACTTGATACATTACGTGTATTGTTAGTGACAACGTCTGATTCACCGTTGGAAACAACCCGATGCGAGATAATCCTGTTACCATAAAGAGATCTTCATGCACCTCCTTTAGCAGCTCACCAACCTAGCACTTTACTTACTAGCAGTGCCTACAGCCCTCCAGGGTAGAGAAGCGACTGATTCATTTACTTGATCAAATAAAGAAAAGCCAAGGCGACAGTTCCATCGCCTCAACGTCAGCAACTAGCGTAAGTCGGCAACACCTGCGGGAACCCTCAATCAAAACGGGCCGCCCGTCCTAACATCAATTCGAAACAGGCTATTTCAATACACTTTCACGCTTACCAAAAAGTCGTGAGCTATTGAGCTATCCAAAGCCAAAGACACCTAGACAAGCAAGTTGGAACACATCAAAAGTCATTGCTCAGAAAAAAAGAACAAATGTCCCAAGATACATCCTCGGGGGATAACCCCGTCCCGAAGTTGTGGTGGATCATGGTGGGCGGCAACAGCCTCGCTTCATCCCCATCTTGGAACCGATTTCTCTCCATGACAGCCGAACGGAACAAGGTAAGTCGGGACGCAAAGAAAGAGAAGACGGGTTTCAAGGAGGCTCAGAAAGCTGCGAAAGAAGAGCTTGAAAGAGCCAAGAAAACGTATAAGGAGACATTCGCCGGCGGAGTGACGGCCTGGAGGGAGCGGAGCCGTGGAGCAGAAACCACTGCTAACGGAACCGGACCTGGGACCGGTCCAGATCCCGAGCAGCGCACCGAGGAGACGACCACTGCTGGACAAAACAGGCCCGAGGGAGATGGCTGAGCGTCTACGAGCTTGGCTTAATAGCACGGCCGGTTCAATCCAGGGCGCCTCTGCTGCTACACGTGATAGTATATAGTTGTGACCGAAAGACTTGGATAATGGGCATGATCAGAAATGAAGCTGCGGTATCTTGGGAGAATGCGCCGGAGGCCGGCAACTCAACATGAATAGCTCTATGATACAAATACTATGACATACATTTACAGCAGGGGCATCGAGCGTCGTTTCAGGCTCGGTAAATGTCTGTTCGCGTCCGTCTACAGTCGGATCTTGTCGATGGACTAGCATGACTTATGAGGCCTTGCTTCTTCTCTTGCCCATGTTGCGTACTCTGGGCTCGACAACCCACTTGTTGAAGTTGTGCTTGCGACGGGTCTTGAAGCCGCCCTTGGCCTGTAGGATGTGTGTATCAGTAGCTGCGAGAGTATGAGGGGCAGCAGGGAGAAACGTACGGGAGTGCCCCATGGACTGGTAGGGTGGCGGTTACCCTTCGACTTACCACGACCACCACCGTGAGGGTGGTCAACTGTCACACGATTGTTAGTGTTTCCAATACGTAGAGGCAAGGTTGGTTACACGTACCGGAGTTCATGGCAAGACCACGAACCGTGGGGCGAATGTTGAGCCATCTGCTTCGTCCGGCCTTGCCCAATTGTCTGTACTGGTGGTGGGGGTTGCTAGCGACTCCAATCGTTGCGCAAGCGTCTTTGCTGACTCTGCGAATCTCGCCGCTCTGAAGACGAACGTTGATGTACTTGCCCGTAACAACCTTGGTACCGTCGTCCCTGGTCTCTTCCTCCTTGGAAACCAAGATTGCGTAGGTACCAGCACTGCGACAGAACACAGCACCGCCCTTGGCTCTCGAGCCGACGTTGAAGATAACAGTACCAACAGGAATCATGTGCATGGGCAAGCAGTTGCCTCTCCAGGCCGTTTTGGCTGCCAAAATACCGGGATCGACGACGCCACCCATGCTGTCAAGAAGGTCCTTGGGGATACCGGAACGGTAGCTGTGGACGACGTCGCCGGCACGCATACCCTCAGCAGCAACGATGTAGCTCTTGCGCCCGGTAGACTTGTTCGAGAGCAGCGCAATGTGAGCACTTCGACCCGGATCGTACTCGATGCGATCGACCAGATGCGGACCAGCCTGCCAGCGCTCAAAATCAACGGTTCGTATCCTCCTCTTCGCGCCACCTCCGTGATGTCTGACGGTGATCCTTCCAGAGTTGTTACGACCTCCCTTGCCGTGGCCCTTCTTGGGGTAGGTCAGTGGCAGGAAGGGTCGGCCCTTCCACAGGTGATCGTTGATCGGACGCTTCAGATGACGGACTCCGGGTGTTCGCGGCTTGTAGGTGCGCATAATTACGGAGTCGTTGTTTGCTTTCTCGATAGTGGGGGCAGTTGCGGCAGGCTCGCTGGATTTCGTGGCGGGCTTCTCGACGGACTTCTTCCTCGTGGCAGTGGCATATTGTCGAATCGCAAGCCCACGAAAGGCGGTCGAACCGAGGAGACTTGCGCAGCTCCTCTGAGCTGAAAAGAGTATCATAGAGCGCGACATATTGGCATCAATGTGCGGTTATGAGTCCAAGTGAAGGCTCCCTTTTCTCGGGTCGGTTGGTTACGTTCAGGAGAAGCTGGACAGGCGCAGCATATCGCGTAAAGGGACGGCTCGGTCGGGGTGTAGTGGCTGCAGGATAGCGAAGACAACCCTAAGATAGGTCTCAATTGCTCAATTGTGCCCAGAACTATCCGAATTCGACCCTAATTGCTGTTGGGATACTCGTTGGGCGGGAATACAGTCCCTGTTGTCGTGATGGCTGAAGCGGCTCTATCAGGTACGCTTGAGGCCAGTGCAGATTTCGAGCTTTAGGAAATAATTATTCTGCCGGCGCCGATGAACTGACGTCCAGGAGCGGAAGCCCAGTCATTGGCGGTACGTACTGAAGGGGCAGAAGCTTCAGCCACATTTAGTGGACCTGGGTGGCTGAACCCTCGGGTTAAGCCTCAGACGCCTCGACACGACCAGGCAGGCCGCCTCTGGAAGCGTGACGGGACGTGGTCGGGAAGGCAGCCAATGGTGCTCTGGTTGCCCCGCGGTTGCTGCTGTTGATTGCTATTGTGACCGGGGTAACTCCCCATTTTCCACGTCTTTTTTTGCAGTCTTCTCCATCAGCCAGCAGACCTTCTTTCGCGTGCAGCCGGGGCAATCGCGTATCCACCCTCACACTGCTTCCACTCTCGCTTGGCTACCACCACGATTCTCGAACTTCCTCATAAGCCTACGATTATCTCCGGGTTTAAGGCACTTTGATATTCCTGCTGCTCCTTTCGAGGTATCTTCAATCTCGCCCCAGGCAACCGACAACAGATACACATTCTCACTACTGTCACCGCTCAAGCTGCTCCTCCATCCTCAAGACAGCTTCTTATTCATTCTCATCCTCACTTTACCACAATCGAAACCATCACCACGGCATCATCCTTCTTGTCGCATACCGCACACATCCACCTTCTCACCAGCATTTCATCCGACCTGCTCGTCATAGCCAGCACCGCCAGGCCCTCTATTTGAATCACTCACGGCAGTGAATTTCTTCGATTCACTACCTTCAACCGCCACACACGCCCAGAGCTAGATATATCTGTCTAGCTCAGCTGTCCGGCCCTCATATTCTTCACCTGTTGCACACAAAGAAACCGAATTCTCTTATGAGATTTCACTGAGTCGCGACTACATCCTCAGCCATCGTTCACGACAAAGACACCCCCGACGCGACTTTTCCTTTAGCGAGAGTCAAGAAGCCACTCCCTGTCCGCCGTTCGCGTGTGCACCAACTGCACGCCTGTCTGCTTCAGATACGCTACTGTGGTGACCAAACCAGGGCCACCGCGAGCCGCGACTTGAAAAAATCGGTACGTACCTCCCAAAGCTGGCGGCTCTGGTCCCATTCACAATACGGTCCCCACTGCATACCACATCACGTCCATTCGTTCCCACTACCTCAGCAAAACACATCACACATTGATTGTCCTTTCACCTCCTCCCACATAAACAACCTCAGTTTTGCCCGAAGCCCAATCTCCTAATACCCCTACCTCTACCTCTGTATTGCACTCTCCTCCTTGGTCTCAGCATCTTTGCATCTTTGTCAATTGGCTCTTGGGACGCGACTGATCTCGCCCATCAAGTGTTTGGCGTCGAGCCTGAGCAAGCGTTTTGCCCGCGTTCGAGTCGCCCGTCATCATCATTCCCCAAGGTATGCATGTCTCGACCTTGCTCGCCTCTTTCCATTACCGCGCTGTTCCTCTTCCTCTTCCTCCAAGCATAAAGTTGCTTTATCCTATACTGTCTCTGCTTGGAACCTTACCTTTGAGGTGGCACCGGCATCTCGACGCGTCCCAATGCTAACCTTGACCTAATAGAATCCTACACCTCAGATACTCAACTTGACATACTCAGTTGACAAGATGCCCGTAAGTCTACTCGTGAATGCTTATCCTTGCAACACGTCCAGTAAGCTCTCGTCGCGTCGATATCGTGCTCACCCTTTCCTTCAGGTTACCCGTCCGGCGCGTGCAACACGCCTCGTTTCGAACGAGAACGATGAGAACAGCGGAACCACGCGCATGACGCGTGCCAAAGCAGCTGCACTAAGCGTTGACGAGCTCGCTGTCCCAGGAAAGGCTCTCGCCACGAAGAAGTCTGCAACCAACGCGATCCCGGCAGCTCAACGAACCAAACGCGCCGCCCTCGGCGACGTCAGCAATGTTAACAAGCCAGAGGCTGGCGCAGGCAAGAAGCCTACCGGCAAGGTTGGCCTCGTCTCCAAGGCTGAGAAGCCTACTGGAATCACCAAGAAGTCTACCAGCACCACCAGATCTGTGGCACCCAGAGAGAAGAAGGACAAGGCACCCGGCTCAGGATCCGGCGCGATCTCGAAGAGAAAGGTCACGACCAAGGTCATCAAGGAGGAGAAGGAGATCTCTCTGGACGACAGCGAACCTATGCGCAAGAAGCCAGCTACCGAGAGCCGAACCAAGTCCGACCAGGAGAACGTCAAGAGCCAGACTCCAGTCGAGTCTGAGCCCGTCAATGCCAACAAGCCCTTCGTCTACCCCAAGAATGTTACCAACCTGGACGAGGAGGACCTGGATGACCCGTTGATGGTGGCCGAGTATGCCAATGAGATCTTTGAATATCTCAAGGATTTGGAGTGCAACTCCATTCCCAACCCCAACTACATGGAGCACCAAGACGACTTGGAGTGGAAGACGCGTGGAATTCTAGTCGACTGGTTGATTGAGGTGCACACGCGCTTCCACCTCCTCCCTGAGACTCTTTTCCTGGCCATCAACATCATTGACCGCTTCCTCTCGGAAAAGGTCGTGCAGCTCGACCGCCTGCAGCTTGTTGGCATCACCGCTATGTTCATCGCCTCCAAGTACGAGGAAGTTTTGTCGCCTCACGTCGCCAACTTTCGCCATGTTGCCGATGATGGATTTAGCGAGGCTGAGATCCTCAGCGCGGAGCGATTCGTTCTTGGAACCCTGAACTATGATCTGAGCTACCCCAACCCTATGAACTTCCTGCGTCGCATCAGCAAGGCCGACAACTACGACATTCAGTGCCGTACCATCGGCAAGTACCTAATGGAGATCAGCCTCCTCGACCACCGTTTCATGGCATACCGTCCCAGTCATGTCGCGGCCGGTGCTATGTACCTGGCCCGCCTCATCCTGGACCGTGGTGACTGGGTATGTAATATGGATCATAACAAAGTGGGCTAGTTGACTGACAATTCAACAGGATGACACCATCGCATTCTATGCTGGCTACAACGAAGAGGAGATTGAGCCCGTCGTTCGCCTCATGGTGGACTATCTTGCCCGCCCGGTCGTCCACGAGGCCTTCTTCAAGAAGTATGCGAGCAAGAAATTCCTCAAGGGTGAGTACCTCCTTGGCCTCGTGCCTCATTTCGTTGCTGACATTTGTGTAGCCTCCATCCTCACCCGCCAATGGGCGAAGAAGAGTGCTCCTCACTTCGGCATTGTCGATGTTCATCTGTCCCTGGACCAGATCTCAAACAAAGAAGACGAGCACTATCCTGAGGAAGAGGAGGAGGAGGAGGCCAACTATTAGCCATCCTGTGCCGAATAGTTGGATCATCTTCTGCGTTTACGGCCACTTTTACGAATGCATACATCGGCGACACGCACCTCTATAGGTGCAGTAGTCATCCTTGTCGCGCTACCCCAGGTTCTTGACATTAGCCCCCACGGGCTTGCGGGGGGATGGCGATTGGGCTTTATTCTTTTTCTCTGGGTTAGATTGTGTCCAGACTCATCTGTCAGATATGGGCAGCTGTTTTGTGCTGCTTTGTTTTTGTGGGTTTATATTTTCCATCGCATTGGGACTTCGTTGCTCTTGTCTCATGAACGGCGCATGGAGTCAGGACAAGGATATCACGAAAGCGGACGGTTTGGCTGGAGTTCGTTGACTCTGTCTTCCACTGGGCTGGCAAGACATGGAATTCACTATTTTTGTGTGTTAAGGCATGGCTGGCCTACAAGTGAGGGTGTCTTGTCGTCGTCTAATCGTTGCTCCCGTTCGGAGTGTTTTGATGATGCGCAATGAGGGAAGGCAAACATACCATACATCGGGGGCGGGAGTGGGGGCTGGCTTATCGCCAACGGCATCGTGAAAAAAACCTGTACATACATCTGTTCGGAGAATCGGGTTCAGGAAGGGCTGAATACATTGCATTGCTTTTTTCTGTTCGACATAATAGGAGTCATCATGAGCTCACGTGTCTATATTTGCTATGCCGCCAGTAAGCTGTTGGATTCAGTATGCATCCACAGCGGAGGGTCAAACACACTTATACTACCACAGTGCCACACCCGTGAGATGACTTACTTGAGCCTGTTTAAGTAGACTGATTGGGGTTCATTCATATTCGACGTCACTAAAGGGGAATGAGGCCCATGGTTTTCAACTCTGCTGAGTATCAGAGCCGCAAGTTGTTTTGCATAGAGAAAAGTATTATTCAACAAGAACTATGTAACACTAGATAATATACACTATATTACGGTTTGATACAGACTCCCAAACGAGGCGATCATTGGGTAGACACTAACATCATCGAGCAGCTATGCTGAAGAGGGCACGAATCTGACACTCTTCAAAATCTGTCGACACGACTGGAGAGCTTAGCCAAGGGTGGTGCGCGCATCCGTTCGGTACCAGTTGGCTTTGGGATCGCCGAGGCACTCGCCAATGGTGACCATGTTCTTGCCCTTGAACTTTTGAAGCGTGAACTCTGTGAGGTTGTAAACGGTCTGGTAGTGGATGTCGTGGCCAATGACGAGGAAGTTGTCGCTGGCCGCAGGCTTGGCGGCGATGGCCTGGGTGACAATGTCCTTGGACTGCTGGATCTCCGTGGCGCTGTCGTGGAGGTAGTCGGCGGTGTCGAGGTCGAAGTAGATGATGGAGTAGCCGAGTGCCTTCATGTCGCGCTCGCAGCCGCAGGCGGCTGTGCAGGAGGAGTAAGGGGGTCTTTTTTGGGGGGGAGAAGATGAGTGTTAGTCGGGTCTTATCGCAGGGTTGGGTGATGGGGTTGCTTTCATACCTCATGTAAGTAGGGAAGACGCCGATGATGTTACGGACAGCCATCTCGAGTTTGTACATCTCATCCTTGCGCTGCGCCGAGGTGATGGTGCACTGGTGACTCAAAGTCAGCAAACCCGTCGACGAGAAGACGGATCCTTGGCAAGAATACATACCAGATCAGCGTGAGACCAAGTGTGGCTGGCAATTTGGTGGCCTTCGGAGTACATGCGCCTGTCGCTCAATATTAGCCCAAAAAGCTCCCAGAGTCTTGCTGGACGGCAAAGTCGTCATACTTGATGGTGTTGGCCCAGGGGAAAGTGGTATTGTCGATTTCACCCTTTGCATTGTTGATGCCAGTGATCATGAATGTGGCCGAGGCATTGTACTTCTTCAAGAGATCCAACAGGTCGTTTGTGTACGCGGCCGGGCCATCGTCATAAGTTAGGGCAACGTCACCGGGCTTAACGCAGCTGTATACACCAGGACCGCCATACTCGACCGAGCCGAGCTTGGGACGGGCAATGCTGGAGGTGTTCTGACCAGGAGGAATCTTATTGGCGTCGCATGCCGGGCCATACTGGAACAAGCAGTCGGGAGCCTTGCAGTGCTCTACATTTATGTTAGGGGTTATTTATCTAAACCGGCATGACACGGAATTCAATTACCGGCAGTTGTTCCGCAGAATCTGGTGTGGAGTTAGCAACACAGGAGAACAATTCAAGATTGGGTTGTTTGTTCACTTACCCTGCAGCAGAGCAGCACTCGTTCGCGGCGCACTTGGCGTTCCCGTTATCCGGGCCGCAGACCCCTGACCCGGAGTCTCCGCCGTCACCACCGCCTGCCGGCGGGCTGCCGTCGTTTGTGCAAGTACCGAACCCAGTCTGGCAGCCATTGGTCGCCAGACAATAGTCGTTGGTCGAACCGCACCAGCCGTTGACGGAGCAGCAGGGCAGATCCGTCGGGCAAGAGTAACCCGCCGCGCTACCCCCGTTACCAGTCTTTCCGCACGAGTTATCGGGAGAGACGTTGACTGCCACTGCGGTGCTGCTGGGACTGCTGACTGGTGCCTTGCTAGCGCTCACTGATGCTTTGCTGCTGCTTGCTGCCGCTGGGGCCTTGCTACTCGTCGTTCCCTTACACGTACCAAAGCCGGTCTGGCAACCGTTGGCGGGCAAGCAGTAGGCGTCAGTAGAGCCGCACCAGCCATTGACTGAACAGCATGGCAAATTCGTAGGGCAGGTGTACGCCTTGGAGCTACCTCCGTTTCCAGTCTTTCCACATGAGTTATCTGGGGAGACGGCCCGGATGCCGAGGGGAGGCGAGGCTACAGCCGTTCCAGCGAGGGCGAGCACGAGGAGCTCGAGAATAGACATGTTGAGCTGTTAGTCGACAAGTAACAGGGCACAGTCCCGAAGAGCCAAGAAGAACGAGCGTGGTGTGGAGAAGAGCGAGTGAATGTCAACCAGATCAAGCCAAGAAATACGGCGATGGGAGACGATTTAAGAACATCGAGCCATTGCCCCTAAAAGCCCCTAAAAGAAAGCTGTGAAAAACGCGAATCACCAAAACGGTGAGCCGCGAGATCCTTCTAGAGGCTCGAGATGGGACTATCTTGTCATGGCGCGGTAGTAAAGGGGCCCCGCTGCTGTGTTTGAGAATCAGTTCAATGTCAGGGTCGACCACTTTTGGGTCGCCAAACTACCATCGGTTGCTACATCGTATGAGATGGTGGCGTTTTCAGAGTTGTGGATGGCTCTAGTTCCACAAAGACTCCTGGTGCCGTTGCAGAGAGATGGGAGACCAGAATGGGCATAGCGATGTGCGGGCGAGAATAGGGGGCTTTGACCGAAACAGGCTGCTTTTACGATGTAGGATGCGGCTAGCGGATGCTCCCTCGAGGACCGTGTGTCGACGAGGTCAGAGTTGCTCGGAAACAACCTAATGCTACCCTAGCCTGCGTGTGGTAGACTGGAGCTGAGAAACGGCCCTGAGGCATCCTTGAGACAAATCGCGAACCATCATGATAGATATTATGCGCTAGCTGAACGTCAATATCGTGGACCCAAGACTTGGCGATGAGAATCGAATAACATCACCACGGGCGGTTGACGATATCTGAAGACGCAAAGATATCGACCCTATTGGTGCTTGATCACTGATCACAAATCCGAGCCAACTGAGCGGATTACCACTTGGATCCGAACCTTTGTGGCGGTGGCCGTTCAGAAGCTAGATTGCATTGCGGCAGGTGAATGGTAGAGCCCGTGTACGACGGCTGATTTTGTTTTGGTGTTTTGATATCCTCAACGCTGAAAGCCGACAATTGTGGCGAATTCGGGTCGAGGGTCTCCGGAAACCGATGTCCCAAAGCAATGGTCCGGCCGAGCTACGGGAGAAGCGGGGCCGCAAGCATTACACTTTGCCCCGAAAACATCTTTTGGTGCTGTGACTTGATGGATAAACATGGCCGACTGCGAACCTTGTTCCAGTTGTACCTGTGTTTATAGTATGTATGCAGTGATGGTGAGGCTGCTCCTGTTTAGGGTAGCCAAGTGCTGGCGAATCACGACTCATCGCTGCCATCTCAAAGACTCGGAGAATTAATTGCCCTCAGCCGCAGCTTGACCCTGTCTCCGACGGGATGTTGGCTGAATTCGTTCGCATCTCAGGGGTGGCAGCCATTTGGAAACATGAGCCAGGGTCATTGGACCTCCAGGTCGATAGGCATGGTTCGGGATCTGCAGAGCCAATGAAGCACCCTAAACGGCGTGGGACAAGGGATTGATTTGGCGTTCCCAGTCTGGAGGCGTCATGGGGGTATGTTGCGTTGCAGGAGCAGAAAACATTTTGAATTGTACTTCATACAGACTGCGTTCTTTGGCTCTGAAGTCCTGATCAAGTTCTCAGTTCATTTGAACAAATGAACAAAGTAATTTTTACTTGGGTATATATTTTCGCCCGCCACGACACTGTACTTTGGGTTGCTGTAGCGACCGTCTGCAAGAGACTGATTGATGACGATTGAACACCTTTCCCATCCGTTGCATCGGTGCCCGAGAATACCGCGGAGCATTTACTGGCTGTCACAATGCAGTGGAGGAAAAACTTGATAGCAATGTTGTTGTGCCAGACCAGTTCATGGCGGCCCTGAGCAGTAAAATATGGAGAACCCATACCCGTATTTCGATTTTGGTTAGCGTTGTCTTCTGAAATGTGCCTTCTGCTTAAGCGGGCTGAGCTGTGGCATTGGGCAGAGGCCACGCGTGTGAAAATTGACGAAGGTGTCGACGTGCCGGTCTGCCGATGATCCCGGGGCATGGGCGGGACCAAGGCGGAACAGGCGAGCACACAAGGCCGTTGTGCGACGAGAAGCGAGTGTCGTGAGTCGTGATGGCTGGCAAATTAAGACGACGTTAGGGAACAGGTTGGAATGTAGGTAAGCTACCGTGGAATCTCTCAGGAATACCTAATAGCAGGTGACAGGACAAGACAAGAGCTGTACGGATTACGTGTTTCTCTGTCAGTTAAAAGCTCCATCAATGGACTTAAAGACTCGTTGTGGGAACAAGTGTCAGCTGTGATTGTGTGTAGATGAATGTGTGTGCCAGTGGTCGGTCAGTGGTTGGTAATTGAAGATCGAGTGACGGCGCATGCTTGGCACATTTGTGGCATAGACCAACGAATTGGTACGCAATCTTCTGTCCTTGGTCTGTAAAGTGGTTTATAGAATCCTAGACCTAACATGGTCAATGATCAGAGCAAAAGAATGCGGTGCGATGGGCAAGTCAAAAAGGCAGGTTAATGAAAGTGAAGCTGACAAGACTCTTGGCAGAGTCAGAAGTGACAGGATTCAGTCGATTGACTGCTTCTTGTGATCCACAGTGCCGAGAACCAAGCCACCCTCGCCAGTGCATCGTGCATCTTGCGGTACGTACTGCCTTAGCTAAGGTAAGCGAAAGGGGCTCGTTCAGTACCTTACCTTGCCTCACTAGGAACGTACTTCGCAACGGGTACACGGGAAGTAGGCGCACAGGTCGGTCTGGGTCTGGTGTGAAGTCTCAGATGGGGCCTTCCTTCCGTTCTCACCTCCGCAACGGTAATGGAAACCAGAGGTACCTTGCAAGTATCCGCCAGGCACAGCCTTACCAAGTACCTAGGTATGTTCCTTCCCTTCCCTTTTCCTCCCTCTGGTGAAAGAAGTCGCACAGGATACAAGGCAGGCCAAATGGGCTCCCTCAGGCGCTTTCTCAAACACTTGAGAGACTCGGGATTGATGATTCGAGTCAAGAAATGGCTGGGGCTGCCGTGACCCTTTTTACCCTTTCCCATCTTCGTTCTTCTTTCGGCTCTTCACGCAGTGCGTAACGCGCAACATATGGATACCTTACGTGCTGCCATCCATCTAAGTGTACCGCCCCTCGGGTTCCGGTTAACGTGGGTGATGAAATGGCAGGGTTGTCGCAACGAGTCCGCGGGATCCTAAGCTGCGAGATTAGCCGAGTGAGGACAAGAGCTATATACTAATCGTACAGCTACGTCAAATGGCTCGGCCATGCTGTGTTAGCCTGTACTCTGTTGGCTTCGTCCAAGCCCAAAAATACATTAGATGCGATGGCCCATGATCGGCTGCGCCTGCATCAGGGGACTTCCTTCATCTGTTGCCTGTTGGCGTAGCTCAAGCTCGTGCTCACCTTCAGCATTCATGCATTGCGCTGTCAGCCATCTGCAGACCCCATAACGCCCATCAAAGTTTAGACGTGTACGGATGAACGACCCCTAACGCAGTCGATAATACCAATCACTTTTCTGCCATGCTTGAATTCTTTGACGGCTCGTGAGCTGCACGATTATTGATGCCCTCCGCTAGACTGGCTGGCTGCTCAATGTTAAGGTTGCGTTGCCGCTGATTGATGTACCTCAATGTATCACGTTAGCCAACAGCTCCTCTTGAATCGCCCCAAACTACCGCCGCCGCCGTCTCGAGCACTGCCACGCGACTGCTTACTCCGTTTGTTTCGGCACTCTCCTACCCTGTCGTCGACTTCAAAGTGCTTCCGTCCCTTCCACCTTCTTCACCTCTCGACAGCTCCCATGTCTCCTTGGTCCTGAGCCCTGAGTGTACGAGTACCTGACAGCTCGACTTCTTTTCATATTTTCTCCAAACGTCTTCGCGTATTCAATTGCCATCGGGTTTTCTACAATCCGTAACCTGACCTCCACTGCCCTTCTTCACCAGAGACAAGATCAGCCAGTAGACCAAATACACACCACTACATATACCGTGCTACCACGCTTGGCGCGTTCTCAGGTCCCTTACACATACCTTACACTACACATTATTCAAACATCAAACAAGTCGCCGGCCCCTCGTGTCTTGTTGCCGTTTCTACACTTCTCTCTTTACTCGCGCCGGCCAAACTTTACCTTCCTCACTTTCACATCGCAACTCAGACCCGACTTATCCTTACCTTGGCCTGATAATTTTATCAGCCCGACATTTGCCCCTGCCTTTCGCTCTCTGCCTCACGCACATCTCACCCTAGATACCTCTCCGCGAGGTACCGCAGCCCCGGCCAGCCACCACCCAGGTGCCGTATCCGCGCGCACTTTTCACTACGCCATCATCGTCGCCGTGCGGATCCTTTCCCCATTCCTAACCCCATAACACTAAAACTCTCTTTCCCTCTGCCCATACAGATACGCTTGCTGCCTTTCATTCACCTGAAGTAGCTTGGAGCCACCTCCCTTCGGATTCGGATGACCTCCTTCCCCTCCCCCAACTACTTCTTGCCTTTTTCTTCTCTCCCCTTACCCTTCACCTCATGTCCTCGTCCATTCCTCTCGCAAACTTGTCGCCCTCATCGAGGCCCTCGTACTACAAGATGCCCGAATCACCAGCGCCCTACTCCAGGCGCCGCCCGCATCGCGGCCACTGGACTCCCTCGCTAATTGGATCATACGTCTTCGACTGGCTTGTCCTCGCCGTTGTCGGCGGCATTGCCACCGTATTGGGCATCGTCGAGCCGAACAAGCGTCCTTTCTCTGTCCTCGACCCCAATATCTCGTAAGACACTAGAACCGCCGCTTAACGTCCCTTCTTCTACCGCATCTTGCTGATCCAAAGTTCAACAGCTTCCCGTTCACCCACCACGAGACCGTGCCTATGTGGCTAGCCGCCATCATTGCTGTCGCTGGCCCCATCATCGTCATCGCTGCCGTGTGCCTCATCCTCGTCCCCGGAAATACTGTTCCTAAGGGAACTCCCAAGTCTCTCATCTGGAAACGGAAGCTGTGGGAATTGCACGTTGGATATCTCGGTCTTGCTCTCGCTCATGTTGGCGCCTTCTTCATCACCAACGGCATGAAAAACATGTTCGGTAAACCACGACCCGATCTTCTTTCTCGATGCCAGCCCGACCTGGCCAACATACAGAAGTATATCGTTGGTGGTACATCCGCCAACATTACCGGCTTAACAGGTGCGGCAGGCTTTGGTCAGCTTGTGTCTGCAGCCATTTGCACAAATACCGATTCGCACACGCTCAACGATGGTTTCCGCAGCTACCCGTCTGGTCACTCGAGCTCCGCCGCCGCCGGTCTGATCTACCTGTCTCTTTTCCTCGCCAGCAAGTTCGCCGTTACCCTACCATTCGTGGCTTCAGACAACGGTGCCGATTCCCACTCGGCTTTCCCATCTCGCATCAAGAAGGCTGGATCCGGTTATGAGGAGGTCGGACTCGGCGAAAGCGGATCGCTCAATCCCGATTCCACCACTGCAGCCAGGAACTTGGCTGAGCATAACAAGGTCGTTACGGCTGTCCGTCGACAAGCTGCTGCCCCTCCGATCTATCTCCTGACCATCGTCGTTATACCTTGGTTCGCTTCCATCTTCATTGCTGGCTCTCGCTGGTTTGACTTCCGCCATCACGGTTTCGACATTCTTTTCGGCTACATGATTGGAATTTTTACATCCATTTTCGCCTTCCGCTACTACCACCTTCCGATCACTCAGGGTGCTGGCTGGGCATGGGGTCCTCGCAGCCACGATAAAGCTTGGTGGTCTGGTGTTGGCTCGTACAGTTACGCGACTGACAAAGGAGACTTTATTCGGCCTGGCGATGAGGAAGAGGCATATGTGTCGAGACCAGTCATTGGTCAAGCAACATCAACGCAATACATGGGCAAGCAAAGCTCTCATGATGAGCCTGAGGCTGAAAATCGGTTCTGATTATGATAGAATGGGTGCGGCATGCTATAGCATCCATCGAATTTCCACACTGGGCATATTGGGGCATGAACGGAGTTTACGGTATACCACCCGCCTGAAAAAAGGAACTGGCGGGTGCCTAGGGCAATTGTTTCTTATGGGGGCCAGGCATGGCATACAGATATGACCTTTACGGAATAGATTTGTGACTGACGACCTCTGTTGACCCGTTCTACTTGTGCACAATGTTGATCATGGACATGGAACATTGATAGCTTACCTACCGCTACAGCCCTTCTCCACTAAGATCTACAGGGCCCTAGCTGTAGTAGGCTATCTTCGAATTTCTGAATTGGCCCTGATTCTCACTCTTTCAATTTGTAATGGCGACGCCAGGACCACGGCGCTATGAACAGTTTATCAAATGTCGGGGGGAGGCATACATACATGCTCACGATCACCGGGCTCCCTGCCCACGAGACCAAGCTAGCTTTGCCTATACAAGCCGGGTATCTGCGCTTGGCCGAGTAGACTACGAACCGCGGTACAAGACGAAGATATCTAGCTGGTCTACTTTACCACATGGCTATTCGACTGTGCTGTCATGTCGGGGAGGAATTTGAGCCTGCGTCGACAACCTGAGCCGTGATCTACTACCAAACTCTCCCTGGCTACCTTGAACAGCAAGCCACTTTGAACAGCAAGAGAATCTGCAAGCTCATTGGACATCTAGGTTTGTATACATTTGCTGACGAATCGATGGTTTGTGGATTGATGAACGTCACACCAAGCTTTCACGTGTACCATCAAGCGGCCGCGGCCCGAAAGGGTAAGCTTGTTGATCATGAAAGCCATCATATCATTATTCCCGAGGCCCCAGTCTACCGAATAGGAGAGATGAAAACTAGAAAAGAAAAGTGACAGCTAAGCGGGAGGAAGCCATGCCCTGGCCCGAAGAAAGCCTTTTATCAGGTCGCCCCCCGTGTGCAATGTCGATATTGTGCCTGGCTAGAGAAGTAGCCAAAGATGAGCGAGGACCGTCTTCGCCATGTCTTCTTTCTTCTAACTTACGCCATGGCAACGCCCTCGTCATCCCCGGCCCGTACGCGGGCTGCTGTGCCCTCAAATTCGACATCGTCGTCCTCCTCCTCCAGGAGATCCTCGTCTCGGAACCCGCTGTCCACTTCCATCTTCCGCAGGCGACGGCGCATGGAATCCTTCTTCTGGTGCTGCCACCGGATGAGGGCGGCGGGGGCGTGAACCTTGAAGCCGTAGACGCGCGGGATGTAGCGCTCGGCGCTCTTGGTAGGGATGAGTGCCGGGTAGGCCTGGAAGATGATGTTGTGGAACGAGGTGCCAAAGTAGGCGCCATCAATGGCGGCGTGGCGTGAGGACTTTGGATTATAATTATCCTCGCAACGTGCGCAGTAGAGCTTGACGGGCTTCAGGTTGGGGATGTCGGCGAGGCCCATGGGAAGGAGAGGGTGCGAATGGCACATCACACGGGGGCATTTTCCAAAGTCGGCCTTCTTGTACTTTTCAAGCTGCGAGCTGCGTTAGTATTGCCATCGTAGTAAAAGTGCAGATGTTCCAAGATCCGTCCTTCTCATTCTCCATCGGTGCAAGGAGAAACAGAAGCTGGACAAATATTCCAGAGAACATATGGCTTACCATCTTAGCTAAGCCCCTTGTCGTAACGATGAATCGGGCGTGTACGAGACCATACAGATGTCTCGCAGACTTCTCGATCGTCTCCCTCATCTCATCGTCGCAGTCGAGGTCGAAGACATCAGTGATGAGATCCAGCGCATATTGGTAGTATTGGACCTCCGTGTTCAGCCCAGTCAAGTTGAACCGATCCGTGAGGTAGTCCTCGTCGATTTCGCAGAAGTATTCGTTTCCGCGAGAGGAAATGAACTACAAAGAGCCACGGTCAGCAGGCGATTCATCTGTGGCTAAGTGGCCGTCCTCCGAGGGTATTGCAAGGGCATTCAACAGCGCGCCAATGACCGCGTCGCAGCCCAAAGCTCGCAACCTCGGCTTCCACACTCATCAAAATTCCCTTCCCTTCGACCGCAGATAGCCCATCGCCAGTCTCTTCGCACTCACCCAGTCTCGCCAGTAGCTCGTGTAGTCACTGTCCGACTCGCTAACGAAGTCGTCCATCATGGCTGGAAGAAAGTGCGACTCGTGCCTCGACGAGCGCTCAGATCATGGCCTAGAGGTACGGTCGCGTCGGAACGTCTAGATCGTTCGTAAATGTCGATTGTTCGCGGTCGCTCGGCCGTCTCGACTATGGGCGCTGATGTGAAGAAACAGGAAGGAAGGTATTTCTCATTGGGTGGTGATTGACAGTGTTTCTCTGCGCTCATCTGCAGGGCAGAAAGCAGTTGGCGGGGCTGTGGTGCGCCTGGCCAGCCGTGCCTGCCAGGGACGCTGGAGGGGGCGGGGGAGGTACGTACCTCTTGCACCGGTCATTGCACAACCCATAGTTTATGCAGGCACGTCTGCACAAGTGGCAATGGAACAACAGCGCCTCGTTCATCAAGGTCATCTATTTAAAGGACAAGCTCGTCATACTTGTATAACGCGGATGCAAAGGATTGCCAAATTGCCCTGTGCCAGGATCAGCGATTGCTGAACTTATTTTTCTCCATTGTTCTGCATCTCATCTGCAACAACATCACAGGAATCCATGCAATTCCCTCATTCCTCCAATGGGTGAATGAAATGGATGTACTGGATCAACTTGCGGTGTATTTGAAGATGAATCTCAGAGATGCTGGAGCTCTTTTGGAGGCAGCTGTACGTCGGCTCAGACTAGGTCTATATGAAGACAGTCGCCTTCCGGCTCCTCGTTCCAACAAACACTCGTGGGGGGAGCAACTAGTTGACTTCTTCGATAAACAAGGGCTGGGAGTTCCCCCCGAACTGTCTTCACTTCTTCTTCACGCCATGGCAAGAAATTCGACCGCATCAGCTGCAAGGGCTTTACTTTCTCATGGAGCCGATATCAACTTTACCGCACCCATCGGATTTGAACATGGCACTAGACCCTTTCGACGCCCCTTTGCCCCAATCGGGCCCCCGCTATTTCAAGCCATATATTTCGAGAACCCTGACATGGCGGAGTTTCTCATCGAGGAAGGAGCTGAAATCAATGACTGTTACCAGGCGGATTCTCCCGAGTTGTCCTGCAACGCTCTTAGTATCTGCATCTCCGAACATGAACCATACGTTGCAGATCTTCTCGTTAGGAAGGGAGCTAAGATACCTCCATCGATCAAAGTCGATTTGCGGCCCCTCCAATTCGAGTTGAGGAGCGTATTCAATGATGGAAAGTATCAGCTTCTTCGGCAATGGGTCCGTCATCGCCTGCCACTCATTGATCTGATCGTTCAAGCTGCGAGCATCGGTAACAGCGAGCTCTCCAAAGTCCTTCTACAGCACAACATACTTCAGGAGATGGCTTTGGAATGCGCCTTGCGTCGAGCCATCAAAGCGCGAGACACTCTCGCTGTGCAAACGCTACTCCAACGTGGCGTGAATCCTAATCCGCCTCCATGTCAGATCGAATGCTCGAGATTGCTTGGCATTGACGACGACATAGTGAGAGTGGCACCAATATGTCTGACCGACAATACTAGTCAAGAAAGTATGGACATCATGTTGTTACTATTGCGGGCTGGTTCTGATATGCCCCATCACACTCTCATCGACATGTTGCGATCCGACACTGTTGTACCAAAAAAGCGAGACATTGATATACCACTGCTATACTCCCTTTTGGGGTCGAGTGTGTTGGAAACGCCAATCATTGGAGCTTCTGCCTTAGTAACCGGAGTCATCAGAGGCAGCTTGATGTCGTGCAGTTACCTCCTTGATCACAAAGCTCCCCTTAACTACCATGGAGCCCGTAGAATGAGCTGCTTACAACGGGCGGCACGTCAAAGAAGCTTACTCCTTACACGTTTCTTCCTCGAACGTGGCGCTGATGTTAACTTTGCTGCCCATGAGGATGGAGGACGTACGGCACTGCAGAGCGCTGTCGAATGGGGTGCAACCTCAGTTGCAGAGTGTTTACTCAGTGCCGGAGCAGATGTGAGGGCTGCTCCAGCGAAAAGGAATGGAGTCACCGTGCTTGAAGCCTTGGCGAAATCTAACGAAAGTTACTTCTACCCGAGATTCGCAGCCGAGGTTTTGCAAATCCCAGACCCGAACTATCAAAAAGATCAAATCTCAAAACTAGAAGGTTTTCGAAATTGGGTGGCCATGGGCGCGCCCATCAATCGCCTAAACGGCGATGACAGTAGCTTACTGCACCACTTGGTATATAATTTCCATTACGAATGCCTGCAGTCAGCATTGGAACTAGGCGCACGAACAGAAGCCAGGTGGCACGTGGATAGGAACATTGGTGTGTTTCAGGATGAGCTTGAGCATGAGACTTCAAAGGGCGTGAAAACTCCGCTTCAACTTGCTGCATACTTGGACGAAGTTGAAGCTGCTCGCTTGCTACTCAAGTATGGAGCCGATATCAATGCCCGCCCGAGCGACGAGTACGGCAGAACTGCGTTACAGGCAGCGACGTGTAACTTCAGAGAACAGTGTGGACATGAAATGCTGCAACTTCTGCTTTCCTTCAACCAGGACATCAACGAACTACCAGCAAATCAAGGAGGCCTCACAGCCCTACAGGGGGCAGCAATAAGCGGCGATTTAGGTGTTGCCAAGATGCTGCTCGAACGCGGAGCAGATATCAACGCCCCTGCCGCAGCCGAGAACGGCAGGACGGCGATCGAAGGAGCTGCTGAGCACGGCCGTCTGGACATGGTACAGTTCTTGCTCGAGAACGGGGCCAAAGGTGATCCGGAGACTGGCTTCTCCAGGGCAATTGAGCTCGCAAAAGCAGAGACCCATTTGGGAGTTGCAAAGGTTCTTGAGGAGCACGACGAGATCTCGGCGCTCCTTGATATGGGGCTGGCGTATGGAGCGAGTACTGACCTGGCCACTACTCTGCCATCTCCGGGAATGATATTCGACATTTGAAATTTGGTGTCACTGAGAAATTCAGCTCGATTAAGGCGGGAGAGAAGGAATTTCGCGGGGACAGAAATGTCTGAAGTATTACGTTCAAGAGAAATGGGGAAGGTCTTCTAGGGGGAAGCCAAGAAGGTTAAAGGCTCAGGTGAAATTGGGTTCTGCTATTCTTCAACCTTACGTTTAGATCAATATTCAACTACTTGCTTACAGCGTTCGTGAACCCAGGATCATATGGAAAACTACGTGTTACAAGAGGATGTCGGAAGGCCATTGCAAACATGATTTGGATATCCACATCAAGGATAATCAAAAGAGGTTGCACTTAGCAAGAGGTTGGCAAACATTGATAAACTCCATTCCTTGTCACCAGCTTCACAAGCTGGCCTCCTCACTCTCACTACAACTCTATATACAATCTCCCCAGTTCCAACCTCATTCAAACCCCACAGCTACATCACCCCACCCCTCTTCTGAAAAAGACTGTAAAAGCAGATCCATCTGCTAAAAGACTGACTGGCTGGCTCGCTGGGTGATATGAAGAACCATTCAATGCATGTGCGTGCGTTGCGTAAACAAGACGTGTGTGTGGGTGTGATAGCGTAACACTTTGCTTCGTTCTTTCTTCACTCCTTCCTTCCTAACTTCGTTCATTTCACATCTCCTCTTTGTCTCTTTATGCACATACCAACTCATTCATCTCTTTCACAGCTCATCCCGTTCATTCTCGTCCACTTCCTCCATCTGCTCAGTTTCTTCATTCACATCCTGTGCTTGCTCATCTGCGATCTCGTGCTCTGCGTCCTCTGCGACGGGTAGAGCTGACTCAGTGGCAGGTGCCTCTTCCTCAGACTCAGCGTCTTCAGTGGACTCTTCGACGGGCGCCACAGTCTCAAAAGCTGATGCCTCTTCAGTCTCGGAGGCGTCCTCAGAGACGAGAGTCGCAGATACGTCCTCCGCGGCACGGGTGTCCGCAACAGCTTCTTCACCAGAGCCTTCCTCGACTTCGACCACGGCATCAGCCTCAGCCTCGATCTCAGGAGCAAAGCTAGCCGTAGGCTGAACCCTGACAACCTCCGTCTCCGTAACGATAGCCTTGACCGTCTCAGTCACAGTCTCAATGATACGCACCAACTCTCTAGTAGTGATAGTCTCATGAACCGGAGTAGGTAAAGGAGCCCTCACTTCCTCGAAAGAAGGAAAAGCAGTCACAGAAGTTTCCTGCTCCACAGCAGAAGTCTGCTCCGTAGCCAACGTTGACGTAGGCTCAACATCCTCAACACTCGCAACAGACTCCGACACAAAAGCCTCAACACTAGGTTCTGCTTCGGCGACTTCAACTTCAGGCGTAGGCTGAACAACAACCTCGACCGAAGCTTCAGACGCCGTCACAAACTCCACAATAGCCTCAACACTCTCCATCACCGGCACCTGCCCCTGCGAAACAGGAACCTCAACCACGGGCGCAGCAGCATGATCGACAAACTGCCCATCCCAATCCTTCACCTCCCTTGGCGCAGGACGAATCGCCATAAACAGCACAAGCAAGCTCATAACCACAATGGCAAGATTCTTCTTATCCTGCATAAATACCCGCGCAGCCTCAAGCAACAGCTCCGCGAGCCCAGCGTTCTGGAATGCTTGTTGGCGCTGGTGGTGCTGGGCGTAGGATTCCTCCGGTGGGGGAGGGGACTGGTGGTGCTGATGCTGCTCGTGGTAATGAGGTTGTTGGGGTTCCGGCTCAGGTTGCTGTTGTGGGGGAGGAGGAGAGCGAGCTGAGTAGGCGTCGTGGTGCGATGATGCGGGCCGAGATTCGGGGGCTGGCTCGTGGTGTTCTGGTTCAGGCGCCGGAGGGTGACCGTAGATCTCACGCATACGCGCCTCGTCGCGGAGACGGCGTTCCTCGCTTTGATCGTAGCGGGGCATCGGTTCCGGGGACGGGGGCCGAATATCCTCTGGCGCAGCAGGGGGAGGTGATGATACCGGAACATGAGCCTCGCTCTCAATGTACTTCGGCTCCAAGAGATGAGTCTCCTCAATATGCGATGTCTCGTGCATCGGTTCCTCCATGGACGGCATATCGCGGTCAAAGTCCGACATACCGCGCTCCTCAGGCATATCCCTTCCCTCAGTTGACTCAAGGATCGTAGGATCGTGCTTGACGAGCGACATCTGCTGCGACTGCGCCACAACAAGACGCTCTAGCTCATCCAGCACAGCCGACTCGACAATGGGCTCAATCTCAACATCGACGCGCTCCATTTCCTTCCAGCACGCAGCCCAAGCACCGGTCCTCATAAGGCCGTTGCTAGCGTACACCTTGATGCGGAAGATCTTGCCGGGGCCGAGGGACTCGTAGCGGATTTCGTGGCGACATGTCTGGCACCAGTGCGTCTTTGCGAGGGCGCTCTTGCGCCTCGACTCTTCGTCGTACTCCTCCTCGTCGCTGTCCATGTCCTCGCCGAGCGTCATCTCGTTGGACGGGCCGAGATAGTGCCCGCACTCGAGAACGCGGGCCCTTCGGCGTAGAGGAAGGTCAAGGGCTTCCAACAGCCGCTCCTCGAGTATCTCGTACTCGTCTTGCGGGTGGGAGAGGAGGATGCCGCGCTCGCAGACAGTATCGGCGACACGGTCGTGAAGGTGGTGCCAGGCCTCGCGGAGCGTCTTTGCTTCCGGGGACAGCGTCTCGGAAGACGTTTGCTCCAGGATCTCAGCCCATTGCCAGCGGAGCGGCAGGAGGGTGACGTGAAGAAGTACGAGCGGGGCGGGCTCTTTCTTAGGGTTGAAGCGGGTAGGTGTCTTGCGGCCCTTGGCAGAGTATTGGGCCGACACGTTGGGGCTGCCGAGGCGGGAGATGGTCGGCACCTGGGAGCGTTTGCTCGAGCGTGGTGAGTAGGAGCCGCCGGTGACGGAGGGCGCGGGGGATGAGTATTGCAGAGCCCGGACGTCGGAAGGGGAGCGGAAGGGCATCCTGGGCGCGCCGCGGATGGTTGGTACGAAGTCTTCCTTGTCGTAGTAGGACATCTCGGACACGGAGACGTCATCGGACATGTGGGAGAATCTCTTGGAGGAGCGGTTGCTCGTGTCCTTGTGGTGGTCAATGTTGCCATCAAAAGAGCCGAGTGAGCTACGCGGGCTGCGGTCGCTGAAGACGTCCGAGTCGCCGTGCTGGGAGGAGCTGTCGCCGCCGTCCTCGTGATGCGCGGGTCGATGACGGGCATCGCTCTCCCGACGGCTAGTTTGCGATTGTGTGTTGTAGGACTCGCGACGACTTGCCCGCGATTCCGTGTTATACGACTCACGGCGGCTAGCGCGCGAGTCGGTGTTGTAGGATTCGCGCCGAGTGCTCACATCGTAGTGTAGCTCTGTGCCGTTATTTGTAGACCCCGTGGAGTCGTGGCGTGCGTGTGACCTATTTCTAATAGTCTCCATGGTTTGAGCCTCGAGTCGCTCGAGGACCTCCTTAGCGGCAGCCTGAATGAGAGCATCGGTACGGCCGGAGACGCGGCGGAGGGAAGAAGAGGAACGACTGGCTTCTTGGACGCCGGCGGGCTCACCATGGTCCTCGTCGGCGACTTCGATGGCAGGAGCGGGTGTGGGTGTCTCATCTGAGTCTGTCTGAGCCATGTTGAGTGAGTCTGCGACCTGCTCTGCCAGTTGGCTCGTTGTGATTTCGGCCGCGGGTCCAAGTGATCTTCCCCTCTCAACTTCCTCGTCTTCAGGTTCTGTCTCTAGGGCGGGGGTAGATTCTTTCTTGGCCTCGACTTCGGGTTCAGGCTCTGGTTGAACCTCTGGCTCAGCTTCTGGCTCGGCAGCTTCTGGCTCGGCAGCCTCTGGCTCAGCAGCCTCTGGCTCGGGCTCTGGCAGGGGCGTATCCTCTTTGCTCTCCTCCTCATGTTGAGCCTCAGGTTCTGCCGGAGTTGTTGTCTCTTCAGCTTCCTCGGCCTCAACGACAGCTTCAGGCTCGGCCTGAAGCTCTGCCTCTACCTCAGCGACCAACTCTTCGAGCTCAGTCTCCTCCGCAGTTGCTGGTGCGGGAGCATCTTCTGAAGTTTCCTTCTCAGCTTCAGCCTCTGCACTTAAAGGCTCCTCCTCATGTGTATCCTTGGTATCGGTATTCGCAGACGAATCCTCATCTGCTGGTGTGTCGGCTTCTTCTGCCGTCGCCGCTTCCGGCTTATCCTCCTCAGTGGTATGTGTATCTTCCGAGGTAGGTTCCGCCTCTTCAACCTTCGTTTCGGATTCCTCGGAGGTATCCTCCGCAGCAGGCTTCGTCTCCTCAGCCCCCGCAGCCTCCTCAACTGTCGTGTCGGCTTCTTGCTCAGGAGCATCCTCAGTATCAGCCTCCGCGACAGCCTCTGTTACAGCTGTCTCGGCCTCTGTTGTGTCTTCCTCCTTGTCGTTTTCCTTCACATCGTCCGACTCGGTCTTTGACTCCTCCACAACGACCCCGGGAGTCTCGTCCTTGACAATCTCCTGTGTATCTTCCACCGTCTTCACCTCCTCGGCCTTGGCAGCAGCGGCGGGGACGTCGTCGTCCATAACTTCGGACTCGGCAGCTTCGTGCGCGGGTGTATTCAAGCAAGACTGGTCAACATGGATCTCAAAGTCGAGATCCTCGGGTTTTGGCCCGGATCGTAGCATCTGTCAGTAGTCGACAGACAGACAGACACGTTCCAGTCGTTAGGATGAACGGAACGGGAAGCAGTAGTAATCTGGATAAAAAAGCGGGCTTGAGGAATGCGGTGAATGCGGGTTGGGATAATCCTCCTTTCTCTTTAGAGACGAGGAAGAGAGACACAAAAGTCTCTCGAGAAACGTGAGGATGCTGCGTGTGGGGGTGGCACCCTATAATTCCAGTCTGTTTATGGCCCCCGGTCCGGGACGGGTCGAGGGAGCAACCGGTTTTGGAGGTGGTTCGTTTGGGATGGTTCGGTGGAAATATGGTGCTCTCTCTTTTCGAACAGGTCAAAAGTCAAGGTGGGACCTTGGTCTGAAGACAGAGTTTCCAATGTTGACCTTGAACTTATTCTGGACAATCATACAGAAACACACAGAGAGAGAGAGGTAGAGAGAGGTGCTCGGCTAATATGTGATGCTTCGTTGTCTCCCGGTGGTTGGTCAAACTATTGCAAGTGGGCTTTCCACCTTCTCATCTTTTGGCGCCGGTTGGGCATTCACGAAAAAAAAAAGGGAGCTGCGGTGAGAGTGAGGCGCGCGTTCAGTCTAAAGGGTCGGGATAGGCCCAGGATGTATGCATCCTGCGTCCTTTGCATTGACAAGTGACGGGAGTGGCTTGCGCATCGACTGGGGGCTGCGTGAGCTGCTCGCGGTGTGCTCATCTGTTTTGTTTACTTTGGTTGCCGGGTCGAAACACGGGGGTGGGTGGACGGTCACTGGTGACGGAGTGGGGGTGGAAATTTGACCCGCTCTATTTCCCTTCGCCCAACCATGCCGTTTTTCGACGTCCTTCTTTTCGCCCAATTGGGTTCTTTGCCTGTATGTTCTGTCTTGAATGCGGATGGTTGGGGGAGGATACTCATGTACGGGAGTACGAATCTGCAGTGTCATAATCATTTTGGCCACGATGTACGGAGTAATCTATACTTTCATATTCCATCTGTGTTCCTATTGTCAAGCAGCCTCAAACAAAAGGGTTCACACGCTCCCATTTCCAACGCCGAACTCCCTTCCATTCGACTTCAACACATACATGTCTTCTTCCCTCTCGCACAGCCAATTTGACGTCATCCAAGGTAGTAAAGCCGATAAGAAGATAGTTGCACCATCAACGGGAATCCCGGACTCTCTCTGTCCCTCTCCATTTTGAAAGGTCCTGTCTCCAGGGGTTCAAAATGTCGGTGACCGGTCAGGGTACAGTCTTAGCCACCCGGATGACCCCATCCGGTCTTCCCATCCTATCCGAATTCACCTTGCTAGAGATTACTCCGTACCCATCCCGTTGTGGCGGCGTGGCCCAGTTGCCGGGCCGCTTTGATAGTCCCAAAAGTCAATCCAACTATCCGCCGTCCTCTCAGTACGGACAAAACTAGTGAATTCTGGAAATGAAGTGCTCTGACGACCGTGACAACTTAGCTTCGATCCCTCTTGTCGATGCGAATATGATGCCATGCTGTGATTTCGTCAGTGGCTTGCGTCCATAGTCATCTTACCTGAGCGCTATGGATGGAGAATGAGATGGAAGCATGTCACCATAGCACACGTCAACACGGAATCAACGGAGAGGTCCAAACTCCCGGTCTATGATTGCAAACTACAAAGCGACTATTATACAACCCTCCGGCAGGCCAGCCATCTTTTCGTCTATCATGCTCTATGCTTCTATGATAGGCAGTTTTCCTGAAAAGATCAACCCAAGTCCCCCATGCCCTCCAAGGAGTCTTGCTGAACAGATGAAACAAGAAGTTTGCCCAGGCCGATGTTCGTTAAAGAAAAAATTTCTAATGCAGAGAAGAAATGCAGCCCCCATCTAGTGGGTGAGGAAGGGGGGCGGCAAATGCTGCTTGCTGCTGTGAGAGGATATCATAAAAATGTGGTTCCCCGCCGTTTAGGTTCATTCCCGGAATTTTACAATCCTGGATCCAGGGTGATGAAGAGGGGACGGAGGAGACATCTCTGTCCTCATCCAGAAACCAACACCATTCTTCTTCTTCGTCTTCTTCGCCAACGATCTTCTCGCCTCGTCTTTCCGGTCCGTCAAATCATTGTTTATTTGGAGATCTCAACACCGCCGGTGGCACCAAGGGCCTTCTTGAGGTCACCGTAGATGGCGAACTGACCGGCAGTCAGGGTACCGACCATGAAGAGACGGGCACCAATACCGGTGTAGGAGCCGCGGATGCCGAGCTCCTTGCCGATCTTGATGAGGCGGGAGGTGGTGCCTTCACCGGGGAGACCCTTGGTCTTGTTGATCTTGGAGAGCATGGTGTCGGCGGGCTGGGAGACGATGGCGGCGGCGAAACCGGCCATGAGACCGGAGCCGAGGTTGACGGCGGTCTGGGCGCTGTCGGAGAGGGTGTTCTTGGGGTACTGGCGGAAGATGGCCTCGGAGACCTTCTCGAAGACGACGAACTTGGACATGGTGTAGGGGATCCTGAAGAGGTAGTGTCAGTTTTTGGTGCTCTCCTTGAATTCCGTGCACAATACGCATCGTGCGCGCCAGAAAAAATTGTGCTGGGGTGTAGAGATTATACTTACTGCTTGAACAGAATGGGTCCGAAACCGGCGTAGAAGGCACCGATACCCTCGTTCTTGAGCATCTTGCTGAAGCCGCCGATGAGACCGTTGGCGTAGGTGGGCTCGGACACGAGACGGATACGGGTGGCCTCAAGGGGGCAGAGGGCGATGTCGGCGAAGAACTCGGCGGCAGCGGAGGAGGCGAGGTAGACAGCAGTGCGGTTGTTGACGGCGTTCTCGTAGCCGATCACGTTGATGGACTGCTGCTTGAAGAACTCGTATCCACCGAACTTCAGGGAGCCCTGGAGGAAGTAACCGGCAGCGGTAGGTCCGAAGCCAGTGAGAAGAGCGCCGGCACCCTCGTTCTGGATGACCTGCTTGAAGCCGCCGATCATACCGCGGTTGTAGGTGGCGGGGTCAAGCTGGATTCTGGTCTTGACGCTGTTGATGCCAAGTTAGTCATCTGTGCCAATTGGTTGAATACCATTGCGGTATGTCATTGTCGACTGCCGCGATTGAGTGGAGAGCTTCGCTGGCGGATTGCGGCCTTTCTCTTCCATTGTACGCCATTTGGCTTGTGAAAGGGCACGCGCACCGGCCAGGGAGAAGATTCTCTTCCCAACCGCGGAACCGGCAGGGAAAATACACCTACACATCGACGGGAGTGAGAGCACCGTGGGTGACGGAGCAGCAGACGGCACCGGCAAGGGCGAATCTGGAGTAGAGGGCGAGGCCGGAAAGCTGGCCAGGGGCGGCGGCAGCAGCCTTCTCGACGACGGCGTCGACCTTGGCCGAGCCGGTAGAGGGAACGGAAGAGGCCATTGTGGATGAGATGTGTGAATCGAACCGGAGAAAAAATACAAAAGGCTGAGTGGGGAGGTACTTGTCACGAAGAGCCGCGCAACGGGATCGTGAGATTCAAGGGGATGGAGGATGGATGGTTAAAGAGGGAGAAACTTTTTTTTGTTGTTGTCGAGGGACGGGAAGTAAGAGGTGGCCGGGTAAAAATTGTGAGGCCTTTTTTTAGCGGCGCCGCGGCTGGGGGGGAGGAGCGAACTAGGACCGAGACAGGCGCAATTGGGAACTTGTCCTTTGCAGCGGAAAAGATTGGCTCGGGATTACTCGGGTACCCGCGATTGCGCACTGCTTGAGAGGTACGTATCTGCTACCACACTGGACCCGACCGGGGTGAGCTCTTGCTCGGCCTCTCGGAAAAATCTTTGCGTGGACAGTCGCTGGTCGGCCAAGGTTTAGCCGGGGCGGTCCTCCCGCAACATCCAGTCCTGGTACGCCCTGCTATGCATTCCATCGTCGCAGTTCAAGTTTTTTTCCTTCGTTTCCTTCCAACGCAGCGCGCAAAAACACTACAAGGGATCCACCCGTCCACTTAGCGTCTTCCATTGACCCATGTGTTTGCCCGTCAGTGTCGTCAGAGCTGTCCAGGATGGGCCATCTAGTAGTAGTTAGAGATATGGATACCTCCCGCTACCTGACTGCGTACCTAGCCATCGCCGTTGGATGCAATCTGTGATAATTACCTAATCTTCAACCTACTATGTAGAACTTCCTGGGCATTAGCAATTCCATCCACGTCGCTCTTCGCGGCGCACATCGAGGCCACCAAACCCCAAGTTCTGTTCCATACATCTTACGTCCCTGAAACATCGTTGCGATGCCCGGGTTGGTGTAGATTTCGACGGCTGCATCAGAGCCGCCCTCCATCATGACTCAAAATTCGCCATCTTCCCGCCTACCCTCCTAGCGGATGAGGTAAGCTCGGGAAGCTCTCCGGCTGCACCCAGCCACCAAGCATCTTCCGACTCCGCTGCTCCGATGCCTCCGGGTAAACTGCCGACTACCGACGAACGTAAAGCCTTCCTGAACAGGTATGGAAGTCAGCTCGAGAAGTCTATCAAAGCAATCGAACTGAAGTTCACAGTGCTCCTGTATCAATATCATGAATTTTGATTCCCCAATACCAATGGTGTTGCAGAGACAATGTTGTAAAAAAGAAAACACGCTGGAAAAACCTGCCTTCATTAGAAATACAAACTCGGAATGAATGATACAGCCGCCAAAAATGCATTCGAGCAACGCTGAACACTACGCAGCCCGAAGGCTGTACCAAATCTCAGACCGTTATCATCAAATGATTGGATACATTGCAAAACATTGCCCGCCGATAACTCTTTTCGTTCCCATTCCAACACCTAGATTTTTCTCGCCCAAGAAAGTCCCGGCTCGTAGTATGCCGATTGATCGTACTTCTGAGGGTATATGTAAAATGACAGTCCAGCTCTGTGGAACGGCAAAAAGATGCAACATGACCGTAGATGATGGTAATTCCGGTTATATCAACAAGATAGCGAGTGACCTATGAGCCTGGGTCCATATTGTTGTTTTCAAAGAGGCCCAAAACATCTCCAGGCAGATATTCCAACCATGGTGGCATCATCTCGTTTGGCAACCCCAACGCTCCAATATCAATCGGGTTCTCAAAGGTGATGACATCCGTGATGGGACCCATGCCTTGCCCAAGGTAGGAGTACGTCGCATTGGCGTATGTAGGATCGAAAGCAATGTGCTGCCCGGTATGATGCTGTTGCGATACCGCATCGTGCATATTGCCAGATGGCGAGACCGATGGCATCATGGAGTGGTCATATCCTGCCGAGTTGTGTGACGAAGGTGTGAAAGACGTCGGTTGCTGAGGGTGCGAAGTTGCAGCTAGAATTGGCCCGGCATGGCGTGTTGGGGGTGAATTTTGCTCTTCCTGGATGCCTTCAAACTGCAAATGGCCTCTTCCTTGATTAGGAGGGCTCATGGATGACGTCGACAAGCGTTGCGCGTGGTGAGAACGTGACGTTTGTCTCATGGCAGAAACAACTGGTTGGGGATATGCAGTAGCAAAGATGGAATGGGGAGCCGTCTCGGGCAAGCTCTGGCGGATTGGGTCATATATCATGTTCCCAGGTGGCGTAGGCGCAGATGTGGGAATGTTGGATTGTTGAGGTTGCATGGAGCCGTGATGGCCAGACTGACTGGCATGCATGTTCTGGTACATGAGCGTTAGGCTTGAGTTTGGTGAATTTGTCGTACCCGCGAGGGACCAAGCTATTGGCGGCATGTTGGGCGTCGATGGATGTGGGAAACGCCCGCCGATTGACCCTCGGCGAGGCAGTCGGGCGCTCTCGTACTCCTCATTGGTGTACGTCTCGCAGTCCCATATCCCCTTGGACTTCTGGTCGAGCGCTGTAAGGATGTATTTGACTCCGCCCCAGTACTTATGCAGTTGCTGGAGGCTCTTGTAGCAACGAGAGTAATTTTGGTTGGCAGCCGACGCGAGGAGAGAGTGCTTAGTAGACATTCTTTGCTCGTGCGAGGATGACTTTTGCCTCTGGCCCTCCATCTTAGGCTCGTTTGGCGGAGATGTTTCTCTCGACGTGGGGTTCGAGGCGTTCGCGATAGATTCCATTAAGAAAGCGCATGCAGCAATGTACATGGGCTGGGATGTGAACGGGTTTCCTATGAAGCTCTTGGGGTCGATGAGTTCTGCAAAGGCGAGAATATCGGCGATCGTCTTGGCGCTAGACATGGAAAGCTCGCGACTGTTAGGTAGAAGCTGATGCGTGCTCCTTAACGAGCCAAAAGGGGTCAGCAAAGTAGGTTGGTGCAGGATAATGATGAGCGCATGGAACCAGAAGTGGAGAAGAATGAAGTTTGTGCCCTGCCCCAACTTCAAGTACGTCTTGAAATTGGAGACGCTGAAGTGTAGCCGGGGATCTTGCTTTTGGTAGAGCTTCGTTAGCTCATGCTCCATCCGCGAAAGCTTTGCCCATTTCTCCGAGGTCAGATCATTTGCGTTGCGAATATTGTTCAAAACGTCGGATACACGGCCGTAAAGGTGGATGATCTGGATGAAGACGGGGAAAGGGGCAGGCCAGCCCGATGCCGGGTCAAGAGTTGATACTGGCAGAGCCAATTCAAAGTCGTCATCACGAATTGTCACAGGCCTGCCTGTTCCAGAAGATATTACTCTGTCAAGAACGAAAACAGCCCAGAACGTATCGGTACGTTCTTGCTCAACCTCGAGCTGCTCTTCGCGGGTGAGTCCGTTGTCGTCCTCTTGTGGACCGTCGGTTGCTCCCGCATCACTGCTCGCTTGGTCTCCGTGGCGAGTGTACCAGGGATCTCTTTCACCTTGATATATCACGCCGACCATCTTCTGCAAGCCCAGGTCGACGGCCATGCGAATGGCCAGGCCCAAGTACATCCACAGAGCACTGTCTTGATCTGCCCCGAAACCTTCGTACGCCATCATCAAAAGCGCCTGAACAGCGCCTACAGACGGACAGGGGAAAGTGTCGACAGTGGCAGCCTTCGCTCTGTGGGCGTAGAACTGGCCTTGTTCGGCATGAGACGCCTCTTCGTCTTTGCTATGCCCGAGTTGTGGCGAGTCGGAGAACCGGGCGGCCAACGCACACACAGCGTCGACAAGAATAGGCTCAACACGCTTCTCCTTGACCATGCGGGTGAAGTTACCCTCCTTCAAGAACGGATAATTACAGCCCAAATGCAAGAAGAAGACTTTGACTAGGTGTAGAACTAGAGGATGGACTGGCGCAGGGTCGTTGGGATCGTAGACTGGTAGGTCCTCGTCGGCAACGGCGACCTCTTCATGCTGAGGTATACCTGACAGAGCCATTCCCATAGACTGAACTACACTGGAGCCCGAGCTTGGAGATGTAGCCCCAGCAGAGCCGCCAGTACTTCGTCTGCGGTCCCGTACGGACACCACCATCTGCTTGTAGCCGGGAACGATGGCTGTCGGGCCAAAGTAGCGAAAGTAGGGCACCCTGTGACGCTCTGTATGATGCGACACAGGAGAGCGGCTCTGGGTACTGCGTGCATCATCGGAGAAGGATGTTGCGCGAGGATGTGAGGGTCGTCGAGGTCGAGAGCTCTGGTCTTGTTCACGAGAGCTATGTTCTGACGAACGTCGCAGGAAGGTCGGCGAGTGGCCCGCATTGGTGTCGACAACGTTCCTTGGGGCTTGTTCGCCTTCTGATTTGAATCCAGAGGGGCGCCGGCCGGTAGCGGTGCTCTTTCCATGCTTCCTCTTGTCGGGGTTTCCCCCTTCTTCTTCCCGGATATGTTCGTCTTCGTCCTCGTCTTCCTCTACGTCGTCGTCCTCGTCATGGTGGGGATCTCGGGTGGCGATGGCGCCACTTGAAGATTTCTTCTCAATCACTTCATTATACCCCAAGCAGGTGTGTCCGTTCTTGGCGCAAGTTGAGCAGCTGGGGCGCTCGCCGGCGCATCTCGTCTTTCGTTTGCGACAGGTCAGGCATCTGTCGAGGGCCGAGTCAGGTTAGCTTCTGCATACAAAAAACGATTCACGGGCAGACATGCAGGAACTGTGCCAAGGAAAACAGCACCAGCCGCAACGACTAGCAGAGGAGCAGCAAAGGAGAAAAACTCACGCGGCGTTGATCCTGCGTCTTTTTGATGGCGGATGGCCTTGGTTTGTGACGAAGCGGATCTGCTTGGGCGCGGGGGTCGCTCCGTTGACGATGGAGGTCATGGCGCGCAAGGTGAAGGAACCTCTCAATAGCGACGCAGCATGATGCTGCGCTGCAGTGGGCGGAGAATGACTGGAAGGGTCAGAAGGGGACCAGACCAGCAGTAAAGGACTTTACTGCGTAGCGACAGAACGGCAGCGGGCGCAGCAGCAGCAGAGCAGCGGAGAGTGATCCACGTTGGGCCTCCAAGTCAGGTCAGGCCTGGGTGGAGATGGCAGGTGTCTCCCGGCTCTGAGGGGCGACGGAAGTTTGTAGCGGGTTGCTTAAACCGGGGTGTAGCTTCCGGGGCAGAGTGCTAGGTATTAGATAGGTGCGGCGTGCCTTGGGGAAAGCTTGGGTTGTGCAGGATGTAAAGGGGTTCTGGTGGAGACGCGGTGCTGTAGCTCCAGATCCAGGCGGGTAGGGCTCAAGCTTCAGCTGAGGGATCGGGCGACGGAAGTCAAATGTGTGTTGGATGGAGGTGGGACATGGCGGCGGGAAGTCTCATGGAAGAAATGGACATGTCTTGAGGGCCGTAGTCGTGCAACGTAGAAACATGGCCGTTTCATCCCGTCCCGAGGAGGGGGATAAAAAGAAAGTAGTGAGAGGTGGCAACGGACGGGTTACCTGCACTAATTAGACCACCAAGAAAGGGGGGATGAGATGATGGGATAGGATGGGATGGGAGGGGGAAAGAAAGCAGATGGGCAGAAAAAGATCAGCAAGCTTGGACGGGCTGGCTTGGTGAGTGGTGGTGAATGGTGACTGGGCAATGCGGCAGATGAGGAGGGAAGGCAACCGAGGAAGGGGGTGACGAAGACGAGCGAGGAAGAATGAGGGGAGGGGGAATGTTGGGGGCACTAGGGGGATGAAGGCGGTCGGGAGAGGCGCAGACGACGACGACGATGTTGATGGGTACGGAGTATCAAGTGGGAGTATGGCGTAGGGTAGGCGTAGGCGAGGACGCTCGGCGTCGTTCGAACTTGTCTCGTCTTGTCTTAGATTGGCATCGGAGGGCGGCGCAGGACAGGTTGTGTGGTTGTGGTTCGTCGTTCTTTGGACGGGATTTCGGGACAGCGATCGTGCGGTGGACTGGGCTGGTGGATGGCTGGATGATGGACTGTTGGTGTTCGGGGAAGACGGGGAAAAGCGATCGGGGGTGAAGGTGGGATGGATGGATGGGTGGTGGGAGACGCAGGATGCAGCGTCGACCAGGGTCCTGTCGGGTCGAGAAAGAGAGAGAGAAAAGCGGAGGGAAACCGTTCAATTAATGCTTCCAACCGATGCATATTGCAAGATGACAAAACAGTTTAATTGTAGGAGAACTCCGTCGTACCTTACCTACCTATAAGGTATCCTGAGGTGCCTATGCTCCTTCCCTTATCATTGTGATAAGTGTTCAATCCACGAAGGAAAGAGCTCTCCAGGAATGAAAATGGAAGGTTCCTGCCTTCTCAAATTGTGTTGTGACAACAGGCAACTGCACCTTCCCGCACACAGCAATTCCGAAGCAATGGAAAGCACGAAAAACTGGGTCCTGTCATCCGTCAAGTCGGCATCCGCATGAGATGATCATCAATCATCTCACCAGTCTCCGCGTCTTCGGGTCCGTCCTTACATCCATTTACTCTGTAATCACTTCTTTGATGCATTCTTGATTCTTTTCTCGGTAAAAAGCGAGGGGCTGTTTCCTCCGAGAAGAAGCGTGGCTACTGGGCAGAAAAGGTATAAGTGAGCACATTGCCATGGGCCGAGCAATCTCGACAAGACACGGGCCAAGCCCAGTTCAACACCTATCACTTGTATCCGTAATTCATTCAGGGAATCTCGCATACTTGGGCATAGCCTCGTGCGGTTTGGTCCGAAAGATTACCAACTCAGGCTTCATCAATGGAAGTTGATAACTGACCAAAATGGCCATCCACTCACACACGCCATCTTCCAAACTCTCTCCCCTCTCTCTCTCTCTCTCAAGCTGCCGTCCACCGAGTCTCACCGCTTGCAAAAGCCGGACATATCGGTCAAGGGAATCAAGTCTGACTACCCCATCGAAAGGAAGGTGCCGAGAGGGAGAGAGGCTTTCATGTCGGAGTATATCGCTTCAGGCAGTTACTTCCACCGCGAGTTTGGAGACTTTCCCCCCGCCTCACCCTGAAAGTATCCGATGCGTCGGCACTTGTTTAGATCACTTATCAGAATCCCCATGTTTGAAGAACTCAACTCCCCTCACGTCTCTCCTGTCGCCAAGTCCATACCACCGGTACCCAAACGCACTCATAGAACCATCTTCCTCTTCTCCCCCATCTGCCGTACCCTCTGTGCCTCTCACAACCACAGCAGCCTCACTCATACAATCCATACAAACCTCCAACGAACCTCAAGAACCCTTAATGTGGTATTCTCATCTGACCATGCATCAGAAAGTGAAAGTCCGGGCAATGTTGTCTCACGTACGGGGTACACCAGATATCCAACCAGACTTACTCAGACTCATGCCGGTATCCCCCTCCCCTCCCCTCCCCTCCCCTCCCCTCCCCTCCTTGCCCACACCACATCAATAGTGACCCGCTTTACCCCAGATCCCCGAGGCCCGCGTCAGCCCACTTGCGCCTTCGGCAACCACGGGAAGCCCGCGCGGGCTGGTGCCACCAGTGACGGTACTATTGGAAGAACCCAGAGACTGGGCGGTAAACCCTCACTCGGCTCAATCTGGGACACAAAGCCCAGCCAGCAGCCCACAGTCACGGTCCTAGTTGCCTCATACAAGATAGGTCAGATAATGAAGAGTAACTTGGATTAACTAACGCCTACTACAAGGTGATGATATCGTAAAATCTCAGATAAACTCCTTGTCCCGCAAACACGCATGCCGTTCTGGCTGGCCCTCTTTGAAATACTGCTTTCTCATGTGCAACTTCAAAAGAACCGGTAGCGCCGAAACCACCGCCATATTACCGTTGACCCCCGCCCCCATAAAAGTTTTTTTTTGTGTAAACCACACCTCCCTGATATGCCTGTCTTTGCTCATTACGTTCGATCTCATCGATGACTCCATACTATATACGGTGGGCGGTGATGATGGACAAGTCCGCATCCAAAGAGACGACGGGCTGCGTCCCTCTACCCAAAGACAATCGTGACGCCCATGTCCTCGCTAACACGTCTCCACAAGTCAGCCCCTTTACCGAGCCGTTGGCCAGGTGTAGACATTCCAATAGCATGATCCTCGTACGCGGCATGGTCGTCAATCATGTCTGCCCGCCTCCAGACCTCTTGCGCAATTGTCCACGCGCGCTGAATGTTCGTCATGCCCTGCCGGCGTTCAACAGCCACAAAAGCCTGCCGGGCTAATTGTCGGTCGCTCGGGCTGATGGCTTCGCATGCTGCCACAAACAGTGGCCACAAAAGAGCCGCCATGGGTCCGGCGTGATTGACTGTTGCAGCACAATGGCTGAGTGCCGTATGCGTGTGGTGCTGAACAAGATGATGCTGTCTCGGGTATCCGTAGATGCTGCGGTAGAGATAAACAAACGCAGAGTGGCGGTAAGCGAGGGCATTGTTGAGAATCGAATGCAGGCGTGCGCGCTCAGAAACGACATCAGGCTCATCTGAGCTCAGGTCGTCCATCGTGTCTGGTGAGAAACCCGGAGGAAAGCTGGGCTGCCACTGCTTGAGTGCGTGCTCAATTGCGTCCGAAGTGGTCTCGAATTCGGAGCGCAAGACGGCGACCTTTGTGAGCTGGCCGTTGGTAATGGCTGTCTGGAGCTCGGTCTTGAGGGCGAGAAGGTTCGAGAGGCGATGGATAATAGGCCAAAGCGTTGTAGAGAAGCCCAGCAACGTATCGACAGAGTTGAGAGGCGAAGTGGTAGGAGAATCAACCGGTGGGAAAGGGATAAGGCATCCTGTCGCTGGTGCAGTGGAGAGGGGAGCTGTGCCAAAGGAAAGCGCAGCAATAACGTCGTAGAAACGGAATGCCTGACAAAAGGGTCAACCAAACATTACACGGACCGGGATGCAGGAAACTTACGCGTTCGAGGAAAGCGGTGGTCGGGTCGGTGTTGTCACTGCTACCGCTCATAATTGCAATGGCACCTTTGAGATGACCATCAACAATATTGGACCGGCCTTGTTGCACGAGCTATAGATCAATTAGTTAAGAGGTCGAGACTTTGCAAGCAATAAAACTTACTACTTCATAATAGACGAGCAACATGATCGTGGCCAAAAGCTCGTTCTTGTTTGCTTCCCCGCCGAGTTCAATCAACCGAGCCAGGCCTTGGATGGCTTGGTTGTGGAAATAGACCGCCTTTTCTTCCGTGTGACCGCAGCCTCTGTTCTCCAAATGCGCACTCGCGAGTGCGTAGATAGCGTTTGTGACGGTCTTGCTCCGGTGGCACAGCGGCAGCACAAGTTGCTGGAACGGGTTTCCGGCTTCCGTCTCTCGCAGGACTATGAGGTGTGACATGACGTTGGTAAAGTGATCAACTAACGCTCGACGGTTTGGCCGTTCCGAGAACTCGGAGAACGTCGGGAACAGGAACTCGAGACGCGGCGATGCCACTGGGACAGGCGCTATCATGGCCAGGTCCGGGTGGCGCTGAGCTCGTGTGACTGCAAGATTTTGAATTGCATCCTGCTGCACGGAGCGACGGCGAATAATCTCCTCGTCTGCATCTTCCAATGAAAGATTGAAAGCGACAGAATCCACCGGAGAGATCAGCGGAGCGTCGTCCTTGTCCTGATGCAGACCAAACATCTTCTTGAAGTCGTAGGCCAGCGGGTCGGCACTGTCTTCCGGTTCCTCTAGAATGGCCTCCTCCACCGCTCCATCGTCTTCGTCGTCAAGAGCCTCCTCCTTCCAATGTCTAATGGCCGCATCGGGTGCTGAATATCGTCGAATGAGGGCGCTTCCGCTCGTGAAAGATGCTGTGTCAGAACCGAAACCGGCAATGGAATCACGCTTCTTGCGTTGTCGAGGCTTGACTGGTTCGTAAGAGCATTCCTGGCCACGCTCGGCGCATCGAGAGCACTGCGGGCGGGATTCGTCGCATTTCTTTTTCTGCAGGCGAGAAAATCACAGTTAGAACCGTTTGATGGGTTATTTGGAGGGGCTGCTGCCGCGATCCTAGGACAATCGGTTCTCCGAATGGGGAGGCTCGTACCTTTTCTTTGCTGTTCAACGAAGTCAGTAAGGAGCTCGGATCAAAACAGTGAGAGTGGAGGGGTTGACTCACCAATAAGTACATCCTGCATGAGGCAAATGAGTTCATGTCAGAGATCGGCTCAAACTATGGCCAGTAAAGGCAAGTGCGTCATGACGGAATAAAAGGGTGCGAGATCTGGGGCAGCATCACGAAGCCATTCGAGCGGCAATAGCGAAGCGCATTCGGGGCAGTGAATTGGCCCAAACGAGGACCACTTGGCTGGGGGCGGGAGGAAACAAAGCGGAGGCAAACAGCAGAGCGTTTAGGTATCAACTCACCTGATCTGGATCGTCTCTTGGGAGCCTTTGGCGGGGCGAGTTTAGTATACAGTAACATGATGCTCAAGAGCTGGAACCTGTGGCGCGCACAGGCATGGCGGTTTTCAAGATTGCCGGAGTTGTGTTTCTCTCAAAAGATGTGGTATATGGACGAAGTTGCCCTACACCTACATCACGCACGGAGAGAAGGGAGAAGGCCTGCGGTAAGAGTGTGTGGACCGAGGCTACTTGGCCTAGAAGACGAACGAAGACAGGCTTTCACGATGTCAGGTAGGGTCCCGCAGTGAAAGGTGACGGTCGGGGCCAGCGGGCGCAAGGCGGTGCTGGTTTTGCTGGTGGTGCCTTATGGGATGGAGGGGTGAATAAGGTAGAATCGAGAAGCTCGTGGGGACTGGGGGAAGTCGACCAAGTCTGTGTAGTGGGTATTTCCCTCGTCTCTTTTTCCCCCCTTGACTCTGTTCCAGCCTAACACACCTTGCCTTCTGTTTAAGAATCGATTTGTCGGTCTGGTGCCGAGGGTAAACGGGCTTTAACGAGGAAAGCTTTTCTCTCTTTCTGGGTTCTGTTCTCGCCCTTTTTCGACGGGGCCGCAAGCTGGGAGGGCCAGGGGCCGGGGGCTGATGTGCTGAGGTGAAGACGAATGCGTATTGTTGGTCCGTTCTCTTAGGGCGTGGGGGATGGGGAATGGAGACGGTGCCTCTGGAGACTGTAGCAGAACGGCGAGATATGGGGAACTTGGAGAGGGCGGAGAAAGGGGAGAAGAAGAGTCGAAGGAGCACTCGTGCGAGTCAAGTGAGATGTCGGGTGCGAGCCAGCTCAAATACCACTGAAAGAAAGGAGGCAGAATCCGAGACGGCGAGAACCTTCAAGAGGCAAATGGGCAAAGAGGCTCGTTCAGCCAGGCGTTTTGGCGATTTTTTCTCCAACAAAGCCTGTCCATCCCCAAAAGCCACCAAAATGGACCAAGGTCAATGTCGAATCCCAAGTCGCGCTGGCGTACCGAGCGAGTACCCAAGGCCCGCAGCCCAAGAGCCGGCGATGGCGGCGTCCTTCCCAATGCTGACAAGACCGCTGCCATCACGCACATCGTGACCAAGAGATCCTGGGAGACTAAGATGTGCTAGAAGCAGAAAGGTGGAGAAATTTGCGGGGTTACAGCGGCGATTCTAGGTGCGGAGATGGGTGTCACAATCTCGGTCGACATGTCTGCAGCCCGTTGGCTCCAGTCCAGTCTCGATGGTGGTGCACCGGTGTCTATGCTTGTTCCCCGTTGGTGGCAGATGTAAAGGTGATTCTCTTTCTATCTGGGTATGTGTGTGTGTGTGTGTGTGTGTGTGTGGTCACTGGTAGCCGTGAGGAAGGGTTTCCCTGCGAGGTGTGAGCGAGAGCAACGCCTGAAGAGCTATGGGATTACAGCAATGTAGGTACGGCGACCTGTCTGGATGTTGGAGTAAAGGGGGGCTGCCCCATGACAGGGTAGATGCTGGTTGGTAATTATTTGTTAATGTGTGTGTTCTTGAGGGATGGCATCTGAACAGGGGAGCCTTCGGGAGGCGCTGTCTCGTAGCGTCCATGTATCCGTACTCTCTCGAGCTCAGCCAGAACACGACGAGGTGCAATCTTGTGCCGTGACGATTCGGGTCGACCCTAATGCTGCCGATTTCCCTCTTCGAGTTCTGCTTCTCCATGGTCTTGTGAACTCAGGGAACCGACGCAGCTCATGAAAAGTTCCGTCCGGTACTTCGTCATGGTGACTGGCCTGTTGCTGCAAGGCATCTGCCATACCTAGCTGCCATGCCGCGCCCCCGGGACTTGATTGCCATTGTGTCAATGTCCGATGCCAGCTGCCAGAAGCGCGTGCTTTGTCAACCACCGCAAGCCGAATAGGGCAGAAATAGAACAGAATGAGAAGGTGGCGCGGAATAGCGTTCTTTGCAAAGTTCGTATACGGTCATCCCAGCTAGAAACGAAGCTAAGGAGACGCTTCTGCTGCTTCTAAGCTCCGGCTAGTCGCTGAACCTACCACAACTGTTCCGGCTCGTGAACGGCTCTGCAGGCTTCTGCCGCATTCCTTCCGGTAGGGAGCCAGAAACGTCATTCCTCCTTGTTGATGCGAAATGGTCGCCCATCTGCATTGCCACTATTGCCTGAGGCCTGGTGATGTTCGCATCTCCCTTGCAGGTCTCACAAACTTCGATTGTCAGTGGACGAATACCATCGGTACCTGTGATTTGGACCCTGCAGCAACCGGCAAAGTTTAAATGGCGTAGTCGTTCAGACGGCTCGGAACTCTGATTCTTTGCCAGGCAGCCAGACTTGAGCTCCGCCTAAGGCAGTGCTGTAATTGGAGACTGGCACGACTGGCACGACTGGTTGTCTCCGTAGTGTCGCCAGGGCTGCGGTTGCGTTGATTAATTGGGTTGGAAAAGAATGCATTGAGTCACTTGACTTTGTTGGCCTATCCACCAATCGAGCCACGCCGCCGCGCGGTGTCGTCCTTCAGTCTACCAGCGGAACCGAGATGGCCACTGCTTGATTCATTTCCCACGGGCCGTAATTATTGTGTAGCAAGGGGTCATGAACTGGCTGGCAGCCTGTTAGTCGGACTTGGACTGTGACATTGTCGAGTATTGCCATTTGTTAGGATGTCGAGCGCCTGACGGCAATCAGCGAGGGCAGTTGGTCTGAATGCAGGTGGACGATCTGAGGGTGCGTGGATGCGTGGGTGCCAAGCTCTGTATGTGTCCTCGATGGCCCTGCTCCTTTTTGCCTCTTCCTCACTGAACGCAAGCATTCGATCAGGCACACGCTTGTGACGACACGACTCAAGCGCCATGTTAGCTCGGGAGGTTAGCTGTGGTTGAGACGCAGACACAACCACACACACACACACACACACACACACCCATGATCCTAGAGGCAGGCCGCCAAGTGATGAAGAAGGTTTTCTTCCCCGCATTCTCCGAGCCCTCAACCACCGTTGATCCGTCCAAGCCATGGGGTAGCGTGCCTGGAGTCTGGAGATGACACAGACTAGGTGGTTGTGACGATGTTCTCGATGGCTTCCAGCCCCTTTCCAGTTGGGTAAGACCCAGAGTCCTAGATGGACCTCGTGTCTCCGATGCTACCACATGGCGCAGGATGAGATTGGTGCCAGGCGGTAGGTGACGGAGGAGAGGCGGGCTGACGGGATCCTGGGTGCGGGTTGCGACGCTTGTTAGTGGCAGGATGAGGGGGTTGTCGGTGAGGGGAGCGACTTGAGCGGTCAAGGCGATCTTTCTGGGTGTTTTGTCTGCCTCAGCTGGACAGAACACGGAGTCGAGGCTCGTACTTGGGCTGTAGAAAGATGTATCTTGTAGATTGCAAGGTAAGTCTCAAGAGGAACGGTAGTAGCATGTACTTTGAGCTGCTTGGGTGGCTGCGAATTGGGGAAAGCTGGCACCTAATGTATCGCATTCTTAGAGACCCCCGTGGATTCGTAAATAGTTGCCATTGCCCATGCCCTGCCAGGTACTGACGGCACTGAGGTACAGACCAACCACAGGGCAAAGTTTGGCTTGTCTTTCTGATGAAAGTCAGAAGCGAAGACAGAAGCGAAGACAAAAGATGAGACGAATCCGGGGAAGGTCTCCCAAAGTAGAACTTGTAGCGGTTGATCAGCGGAGCGTCCTGTCGATATTCTGGGGACTCTTGAAGGAAGTGTCGGGCTGCGGGCAACCGGCGGGAGCATCCAGCGTGAATGGAGACGAGGACTGGGCGGCGGGTCATAAAGGAACTTCAAGGGACCAGAGCCCACCTCAGGCGGACGATTCGACTCCGCGAGCCCACTGACAAGGAGAGGTTCCCGCCGACGGTGTTTCCCTCGCGCTGTCCAATCGCATTGGGGGCTGGGACTAAGCAAAGAGCAAAAGTTCTGCCCTCTTTTTCGCCATTCTTCCGTCGATATTGCTGTGGAGTCGTCGTTCCTCGCCAAGGGCTGGAACTTGGTCCTTGTTAGGTAAGGGAAGGAGAAGTGTTATTCCTAGATTTGTCTTGCCCAAGGACGAGAGTATCTACAATTCCGCAGGTCCTGGGAATCCAACCATGTCCTGCCTAAGGCTGCATGGAAGTCTGGTGAACCGTGAAGACTGGTGATGGGAGGCAAGCACGGCACGGTTGCCCCATACTCGCTCCTGCTCTTGCTGCCTCCCACCAACACACCAACGAACCAATGGACACTGCAGGTGTACGAAGATCAAACTTTGAGGAAAGTGCGAGCAATCCTTTGGATACCTACGGGCAGGACACGGGAAACGGGAAGCACACGTGGACGGGAAGTCCGCACCTGCATTTTTGCGGCGTGTCTGCTCTTTCCGCTCTTTAGGTGTCCATTCATCGGTACTTCGTACCTCACTCTGTGTGCCTCAGGCAAAAGACTATCCAGATCGAGGAAGGTACAGTCGGTTAAGTTACACCTTTTGCTGTGTGCCTGCCGCTCCCACGCCGTGTCCACGCCTTCCTCGCTCGTTTCCATCGGTGATCACGCCGATCTTCTCCCCCTTCTACCTCCAGTGCAGGCAGGCACGCAGTTTATATTCCTGCCGTTGGGACTTGGGTCACTGGCAATACTCCGTAGTCCATGGGATTGGCAATCATGGGCTTTCCCTCTTTCCTTCCATTCTCCACCGGTGCCGCTGCCATGCCGTTGTGCCTGAGGTGACTTATAAATAGTCGACAAGTACGTACCTCTTCCGGCACCAAGACTCTACCGTCGGTCGCGTGCCTTCTTGGAAGAACTCAAGCCAAGCAGCTTGCCTTCTGCATCTTGTTGCCGCGAGGAGCAAACAAAACACCATTCCGAATCTCAGTGTCTCTCAGTTTCATCGATAGCTCAGAGAAGCTCACCGAGCATCAGGCATTCATCCGCCGCCTCGGTTTTCATAGTGTTTCCTCGAGCCAGATACAGATAGTCTTCCTGCCATTAGATTTAAGCCGTCAGGTAGTTGGCGAGTCCCCTTAGGTTTCATTCTGAATACTCGGTAGGCTTCTGGTCGAACAACAGCACACCTCTCAATTCTC